AGCTCTCTATGGAGAGGCATGTGAATTCCCCAGCTGTTTATGGACACATTTTTTGTTGTTGTTGTTGTTGTTGGTGGATTTGAATATATAGTTGAAACAATCTCAAAAACTATTTCTTATAAAAAAAATTGACAAAAAACAAAAATTCACAATTTGTTTTCCATTTTTTTTTACAATTTCCCATTCATTTCCTATGGGGGTCATTTTTGACCAAAGACCACAAGTGTGACTATTTTTTTTAAGACCACTTAGCATGCTCAGATCATGACCTCAATTTTTTTTTCCAGAAATGACCGAAGAGCACCTGAGGGTTAAAAAGTTGTGTTAGATATTTTCTGTTAGATAATATCCTAGAACGTGAGGTTGTCTTGAACATCTCACCGTGGTTTGGGCACGTGCTCCTCCGGCACTGACGTCCACATCGAATCACTGTTCTTCTGCTCTTTAAACTTCCCATTAAACACTCGCTCGATGTCATCCAGATAAAACCCACAGACGGCTGATCCGGGGATACTGAAACACACGGACAGAGTTAACACGCATACGGTATTTCTGTGTGTGTGTGTGTGTGTGACTGTGTACCTGTTGATCTGTGTGGTGAAGACTCCCACCACAGCGGGCCGCTGGTTGATCTGAAGCACGTTAGTGAGCGACTGAAGCACATCGAAGTAGAAGAACGTTTCTCCGGGAACTGAGCAGTTCAGCCGCGCCTTCAGGAACGACGTCCAGTAGCGATCCAGCACACGCGTGGAGCCGCCGCGGTCGTTCTTACACACGCGAGCCACGCGCGAATACACCACCTGCAGCACGAGGAAGAGGAGAAGGACTTTGGCTTTGCTGCAAGTACACACAACATCCCAGCAAGCAATTCTGCGTCTAATAGCCATCTAACACAGCCCAGACGTCTAGGCTAAAACAAGACAGACGTCTGACCAGAGCCCAAGAATAGGCTAGTCATCACTTACATAACAAAGAAATGAAATGAGTGAGGAAATCACCTTGTAATCCCAGTTTATTTTGCTTACATGATGGAATGTCAAACATCTCGCACGTTATTTTGGCAAAAACGTCATGTAACCAAATTTGAGCTTATTTTGGCTAGAAGGGATTTACTCATTAACCGAGACGATGGATGACGGCTATTGCTTGCTGGGATGAACACTCATACGGTACGCTTCTGTTTGGGTCACCTTCCCAGCAGCGCTGTGCTCCACTGCGATCTCACTGAAGAAGAAATACACATAGTTCCCGTACTCGACAGCATGCAGGAAGTTAGGCTCTGCAGAAACAACAACACAACTCGGGTGAACTGGTGCGTCCGATTCACTTAGTTAAAGGGTTAGTTCACCCAAAAATGAAAATTAGCCCATGATTTACTCTCCCCCAAGCCATCCTAGTGTATATGAAGTACTTTTATTGTGAATAGATGCACTTTTATGATGATAGATGCAGTTTAATGAACTTTTAAAACGGGAACAGCCATTCACTGCCATTATAAAGCTTGGAAGAGTCAGGACATGTTTAATATAACTGTGATTGTGTTCGTCTGAGAGAAGAATGTCATATACACCTAGGATGGCTTGAGTGAGAGTAAATCATGGGGTAAATTTAATTTTTAGGTGAACTATCCCTTTCCTCAACAACACACAAGATCTGAGGAATCATTCATGATCATATAAACGTCCTGATGAAGTTAAAGCAGCACCTCGGAGCCATTTGGAGTCGTATTTGACTGTGCGCAGGACGGGCCGGCCCTCTCCTCCTAAACTCCTGTAGATCACAGCATCACTCGCCTGGAAGTCCGTCACTGTGGCCGAATAGAAATGACCGCCTGAAATACAAACGTACGTGACTCAAACGTACGTGACTCAAACTCAAGTCTCTGGTTAACTTGCGAGGCGGCCAATAAAAATCTCTTTAATTAACCAGTCACAGACAGGTGATCGAGTACGGACAAAAACAAAGAATCACTGCTTTCCCCTCATTCATTATTAGGGAGAAATAATACTACTAATAATAAAAAAAATAATAAAAAATAATCTTTTTATTGAATTATTTAAATTGTAAAAAGAAATCAATTAAATATTTTACTATCTATTATAAAATATGATTTATTCATGTATTTAATTTTACTACTACTAATAATAAAGTACTGTCATGTTTAAATTGTAGAAAAATTTAACAAAACAAAAACAAAATATATTGCTATTTAATGTAAAATTAACTTTTTTATTAAATCATTTTATTATTAATGATCATAATATTGATGAGTGAGTAAAAAAAATAAACAAATCAATAAAGAAATATATTAATATTTAATGTAAAATAAATTGTATTAAATGTATTTTATTATAATAATATGAATCAAAGTACTGTTTTTAATGTATTATTTAAATGATAAAATTAAAGAAATCAAAGAAAAATATAACTATTTAATGTAAAATAAAATGTTTTATTAAATGTATTTTATTATTATTTTTAATATTATTATTTAACTAATATTTATTTATGGCTGTTATAATTTCCTTTGCTCCCAGATATTAAAACAGAGATTTAGCATTTCCTGTGACCTGCTCCAAAATACACTGATTTTTTTTATTTTATTTATTTTTATTTCAATTAAGCAATTAAGGTGGGTCATAGTTCTCTAGTCAGGAAAATATGGAAAACACATCCCTACAATCATTAAAATCCTTAATATTTTGGGTCGGGCCGTTACACATACATATACTTTGGAAAAACCCAAATGCTTTGGACGCCTGTATTGCTTCACACCCTTGACTGGATGTGAATGTTGTGCTTGTGTGTGTGTGTGTGTTTCAGCACCTCACCTGCAAACACTCCGACGTTGGACTGGCGAGACTCAAATGGACATCGGGCCTGACCCAACAGATCCTGGCCGACCTGCTCCAGCGAACTCAACTGATCATAAAGCAGCACAACAGGGGAGCGATTACACATGTGTCCATGAGATGGCGTGTCTGACAGCTGACAGGGGATCAGTGACTCACTCTGTAGTTTCGGCAGGCGGGGTTCAGCGCGTTGGTTCCACAGGCAAACAGAGTCTCGTCGTTACGAGGCACAAGAACTTTGATGTAATTATAGCATTCATCCTGAAAGCAGACAGAAGATGAATGATTGACAGTCCAACACACACAACCTCATCATAAACATCTGTTGAACATCTCTGCATGTTTGTGGTCCAGCACAGAGTAAATTCAGCGGCTCTCTCGAGTCGAGTGTGTGACACTTTCCCACAGAGACACATGTTTCCTCCAGCTGTGTGTCTGCTCTGATCTCAGATCAGCTGTAATGAGACACTCACACTGTTCCTGCCTCTCACGGTGCACTTGGACACATCTGTGGACCTCCACGTCACGATCTGAAACAACAGATTACTGTGAGAGTGTGTGTGTGTGTGTGAGGGAGAATGTGCTCCAGTGTGTGTGTGTTTACGAGAGAGTATGTGTGTGAGTGTGTGTGTGTACCTGTTGCGGGATGATTCTATCCACTGATGCAGTGAGATTCACAACAAATACATGATCTCTAAACAGGAGGCAAACACAAGAAACCTCATACTGTGTGTGTTCATGATTTCTACAGATATTTTCATTCTGCAAACATTATATATTCAAACCACTGACAGAATCACATTTCTTCAAAATTCATCCAGCATTTCAAAGGTGTAAATTAGTCATTTTACTTGATTACTTAAGTATTATTTTTAAGCATTTGCACTTTACAATGTAATTCAAATGGAATAAGATACTTGGATTTTAATTGAGTTTTTTTAATTTAGATTTTTACACTGTATCTATCTGTTATCGTGAGCATCATTCGAGTGGTGTTTCCACACTGCATGTGTTTTGAGCTGTGATGAGAGACCTGGCAGCGATGTAGAGCATCTGCTGGATCCGGATCATCCGCTGATAGTCCAGCCCGAGACGCCCCGAGTGATTGTGGGACATCAGACCCTGGAAACTGGGATACAGGAGTGTGTCTGTGGAGCACAGCAACACTTCAGTCAGGCAACACTCCTGTGAGGCGTTCCATCCCAGAATGCAGTTGGGTGTTTGTGTGAAGTGGACTTCATTGAATTAAATGTTAACAATGTTATTCATCTGAATAAAGTCCCTATATCAGTTGTATTGCTGTCAAATTTGGGTAAAAGAAAAAATACTGTTCCATTTATCGGAAACAGCTCAGTAAATTTTGCAAAATATATCATTAATTGCAATCAAAAGAAGATACATATTCTGCTTCTGATAAACTATTTAAAAAGTTCCAAACAAATTATAATTTTTGAAGGAGGGCCATTAAAAATGTTAGCAGAGTAAACAAACATTTCGTCATGTGACTCACCTTCCAGTCCCACCAAACTGATTGGCTGCAGATCCCTGGGGAAGGGCGTGGCAGTGATGAGTGGGAGGAGCCAGGCGAAAGAGACCATCGTCATGACGACAGAGTGACAGCATGTCCTGTCAGTCATCTGCAGAGTTAGAGATAGAGAAACACAAAGACAATCATTCATATTCTTCTTTAAGAGTCATATTCTTGTTCATTACTTTTTAATTACATTTTAATGTAGAAAGACTTTAATCGCAATTTTAGCTCTGGTTTAAGCTAACATAAATAGTGTTTTTTGTTCAAAGCATATTTATTTATTCATTTATATATATATTATGTTTTCAAAACCAGATTTTAATTAACAATTTTATACTTTTTTTTAGACAATTTTAGGCGAATGTAAATTTTTATGTAACTGACTAGAAATGTACATCACACAGCAATAACACAACAGTCAAAAATCACATCAGAAGCACAGATATAAACAATGAAAGTGATCTAATAAACAGATTTTTTTGAACCCTGTGTTAATCCTCCGAGGCAAATGTCAAATTGGACTGTAATTCTGGGATCGGCTTGTTTTTGTCTGTATGTGTATGGTTGAGATTAAGGTCAGACAAACATTAGTGTTTAAGGTCAGCGTTAACATGAGCTGCTGTGTTTATCTGCACTAATGTGTGTTGCGATACACACACATCCAGCACGACTAAACACATCAAATAGACATCACTCATGAACCTTTACATTTGACTTATTTTACTATTTTAATTCTTTTTATGACCGTATTGCTCCGTTTCATTGACTGAACTCAAGTGGCACTGAGAATTGTGTAAGAGAGAAACATAAAAGACTTAATTGTGGCAATTAGCAAGCCCAAAGCAAGCCAAAAGCAAGGCGACAGTGAGAGTGACGTGATTAAAATCCACTCCATTCCTACAGCTTCAGAACAAATGGGCTTTTGGGGTGCGGACTGATGCGGCGGTGAACTGACAAATAAGTTTAAGTAAAGCTGCAGTCCGGCGTTTTTCCTCTTTGTCGCCATCTCTGTTCGAAATCTGCAATTGCAGTCATTCGAGGAATTATCAACTTTACGCGAGTAGTGCCTCAGCGCGGATGAACACAATGTTTGAGGAGAGTGTGTGACTCTCACTGCCGATCTATCTCATTAGCTCCGCCCACTCCCAAGAAGCACTGCGAATGACTAAATTAAGTCAACTTAAATATTTATGCTTATTTGCATTAAGCTTAAAATGGTTTTATCATACTCAACATTTTTAAAATGAGCAGTTTTATATTTATCGTTATTAATTCGATTATGCTGTTTGCAAAAATATCTTATATCTGTGTGATTTTCAAATAAATATTTCACTTAAAAAAAAGTTTAATGTTATGATTCTCTGTGTAGCTGATTGGCTTATAACACTTTTAACTAAAACAAAATTGGGGGGTAGAAATTAATGGACAAAATGACTTCCAGAACCAGCATCTCTGAAAAAGTGGGCGGACTATAAATCGGTACCCTCGATGAACTACGATCTCATAACAATCCGTGTCAATGTTTAAAACCGGACCCAACCCGAGGCTAATCCTCTGAGTGTGCCAGTGGGAGACACTTTAGCTAATTAATGGCTAATCAGAGCTAATCTTCCATTAGTCAGATCAACCGGGACACACGAGTCGGGGTGTAATCTGCATCTTTTTATGTCCAGGATTATTCAATTATAAAGTTTTATACACTACAAGTTTAAACGCTTGGTTTTCTGAATTCTCCTTTAATTAAATTGCTTTCCAGGCCTGTAATTAACAGTAACATTCAGGCTCATTAATCAGCACAGAGAACCAATTATGCAGATTACTAAATACAACATATCAAAGCAAGTGTCATTATTGTAGAGCGATAACACACACACACACACACACAGTGCACCACCTCAGTGTCTGTTCCCTCAGTGTGTTCAAACTGGAACAGTTGTTTTCAGCTAAACACAGACTCACAACCAGATCAACACAACCACAAACACACAAACCACATCCAAAAACACCACAACACACACACCACAGAGACAGGCTCTCTCACACACACACACACACACCACAGAGACAGTCAGAGCCGCAGTGAACACACAGATGAGAAAACATCTTTACAAAAGCAGTGCTTGCAAAACAGAGCAACAGCTTGCCTATAAAAAGCATTTTATACGAATGTTTTACATTTACTGAACCATCACATGCTGGACTGCTTGTCATAGTCTCATGGAAACTAGGGGGTGGTAATGATATTTCTGTAAGTGTTGTGGAAGCGTTCAGGGCCTCATGTGTGTGTGTGATGGACAGGTCGTGATCAGACCAGGTGTACACGCCCTCGAAACGCGTTGAATCCGTCGCTCAAACCCCATCAGGAGGAGGTCTGAGACGCTTTCAGACAAAACTGGACATCTCCTATTTTTATAAAACGGGGATTGTACATTTTAAAACAGTAACTTTTGAGACTGAGACGGCAAAACGCAAATTAAGAATTACAATGAATCAAATATGTGCGAGTATTGATATTTTACTCCACTGTATTTGTTTACAATTCATTTAATTTACAGTAAATGCATTATTATTAATAATAATAATACCGCTTATGAAAATACTACAGGTGGGAATTGATTGACCTACATTCTTGACCTACATTTTTTTTTAATAATTAATGAGTTTACCAACATCATATCTAATTTATTTGTGCATGTTTATTACATTACTTATATAATTATAAGTACTTTTTAAAATATTTAAAAATTAATAATACATCAAAATAATGGTATTTTGAGAATTATTATTAAATATAGCTTTGAATATATAAAATGTAAAGAATCACTTTACAAGTATGAAACACAAAGTGCTTTTCCAGACAATCAGTGAGGGATTATTCTCTTATCAATTCATGAGTTTCATTAAGAAGAGAATCATGAAATATCAGAGAATAGTCTTTTCACCCATTCCTAAAAAATACAGGTGCAGAAATACAGATTCTTCATTAAAAACGGCACTTTGAGAATCATGTAATAATTCAGACATTCTTTTGACGTCAAATTGAGTTAAATAATAAACACGGCACGCAGTGTGTCCAGTGCATGATAATGCTCTTAAAGCAACAGACGAACAGCACAAGTTGACGCCAGAACACAGATCCACACTCTCGCCTGAGTTAAAGAGAGATTGTCCAGGACTCGGAGATCTAGTAAACACTGAGGGAATGTTCTCCGGCTATCCTCCAGGAACACGTCAGTCGGAGCGGATGGGGTCTGCAGTGTTTCCTGATCCTCGGAGTGAGAGTTCATGAAGCTGAAGCTGCCTGGGCCTTTAGTTTGTTCATGTTTTACGGTCATTAAAGAATGGCTTTATAGAGTAGTAGAGCGTGGCGTTATCAACGTCAAGGTCATGGGTTTGATTCCCAGGGAATGCATGAACTGATAACAGGAGCGACTACATTTCCCAGCACTCTCTAAAATACACCTGGGTTTGTTGCACACACATTAAAAAGCATAATGTTCTTGTCGACGATCGCTATAAAATTGCACAACACAATTTCGGTCGAACACACATCATTACCATCCAAGTCATTACCATCTAAAGCCGTATTCGCACAGTAATTGTTTCTCATGTGGACGTCTGTAATAATACATTAGCATTAGCACCTCAGTGATAAACTCACTGGATGGCGAGTTATTCACAGTCGAGGAGCAGATGTTTTGTGATCCTATGAACCCGGGAAGTTCGGGAACGCACTGATCATGTGGTCAGTCACATGATTATATCATTTTAATTTAATAATAGGATATCTGATTTGATTATCTAAATATCCTGTTTAAAAATAAGTAGATATACGCAGTCACGCACTATAGATCAAATAATTTTCTGTGTTGTATTTTATCTCAAAATGATGGCCGTGTCATTTTAAAAATGTGAAAATTAGCGGAAATAAGTTAATACAGCCTCTTATTTACATTAGGGTAAACAAATCTGCTTGGCTTATTTTGTTTGTATATAATTGCTGCCATAAAAACAGCCTATTTCAAATGTTTACATGCTTTTCTTCTCATTCTCTTTTGTGAGCTGATGAAATATTGTCCTTGTGAATACGTTCCAGCATTGCAATGCAAACTCATAAGTTGCGCAGCGTATTGTCAGTGGTCAAAAATTTGGTCAAATATGTACACATGTAAGTAGATCACAGAAGTCAGTGAGAGTGAACACTTTCCTCAGAGCTGTGTGTGTGTGTGTGTGACGTCTCTCTTTCTCTCTCTCTCTGACGGCTCTCACGCTCTCGGTAAAAATACTCGGCACCTTTGACATAAAGCAGCTGTTTTGCTTCCCGTCAAGATCTCAGCTTTTCCTTCTCTTTCAACTAGTCCCACTCGGACACACACACACACACACACCCAGCGAGAGTGCAGCGGTTCCTCAGGAACACACACATGCGTGCTGCTCGTCCATCATCAGCGCTGTCTGTGCAAACTATAGAAGGGCTGTTGACACAGAACGCGTTTCTCAGTTTTTCATATGTAAACATGCAGTAGATGGATGTCTTTGAGCGGCGAGCACGGCTCACATGTCTTCTGCAGCGTCTCGTACATGACATGTTCACAAATTAAAAATATTGCGAAAATTAAGAATGTGTTTCTAGACGTTGTTTTTTTCCCCTATTTCACTGCCCTGCTAAAACGTGCTCCGCACAGATCCTCTTTCTGCATTCACTGCGCAGCTTTTTCAGAGTCGTTTATGTAAATATGCTCTAGATGAACGTGATTAACAGCTGCATTCTCCTCTTATGGAGCTTCTCTCGCATCACAGCATTTGAGAAACACAGAGATTAAGAGATTTAATCCACTGCTGTGAATATTGAGCTTTTTAACATAAAAATATGTTCATTATTTATGGTCCCAAAGTGCTGTATTTTTAAAGATGCTTTGCAAAGTTATTAACATTCTTTAGTTTATGGATTGTCTTAAGGGATATTAATATTATTGTTAAATAAATTATTTTCATTAACTCACCCTCACATTATTTCAAACTCGTATGACTAACTTTCTTGCACAAAAATAGGAGAAAGAGGAGATTTTTTCCTTTAATAAAGAATTTGGGATCCATATACTTTATTGGGCATTCAAGCTCATCACTCCCTTTAACAGAAGATATTTTTAACGAAAATTTTTTGCTGACAAACGGGTGATTTGGAGGATGTTGGCAAAGTGGGGACTTTAAGCCTTAAATAAGACTTTTTGGTTATAAACTATTGTGACACTGAGTCACATTTTAGTGGACGTGTCTTTTGTAAATTATGGTCTAAGCCATTATTTTTAAATTAAACAGGACACATTTTAACTTACAGAAAAACAAACAAATTTAAAGATGTATTGCACTTCTTTTTTTGGATGAATGCTTGAAAACCCCCTTTTTTGATGGGTTTTTGTCCATAAAGGGGTTGTAATCAATACCGTTTGTTTACTAGAATTTATTTAGTGTGTGTTTGATGTTTTTTGCAGAAGAATGAAAGTCATAAAGTTTAAGAACATCTTGAGGGCGGGTAAATGATGGCAGATTGTTCATTTCAGGGAAAAGTATGGCTTTAGCTCTAGTGTGAGGGTTAGTTAGGGTGAAGGTTAGTTACGGTCAGGTTAGTTAGGGTGAGGGATAAACTATAATGCTTGTTAGGAGCACTCGGACCCCAGCTTTCTCTCTCCTGACCTTCATGTTGAGGAATTCAGGGGGAGTTTATCTCCGACCCGCCGGTTCTGTGCCGAGAATCAGAGCCCAACAGAAACTCTACAAGCGTTCCAGGAATGCCAGAGTGGGCAGAGAGAGAGAGAGAGAGAGAGAGAGAGAGAGAGAGAGAGTCTGGCCGTAGAGAGAGGACGGCACCGGCAGAGATGGCAGCCGCGAGAGCTGAGACTGTGTTCACTGTGCTCTCAGAGAGAGGTGGAGACAGAAGAACACTTCCTCATTCACTGTGATCATTATCACAGCATTAGATCAGACTATTTCTCTAGATTCCAACAACTAGATCCAAATTTTATGGCATTGCCAAATTCAGACAAATTAATTCATCTTTTGGGAGAAAACTCCAGCTCAATCACAACAGCAGCAGACTATGTAACAGCCTGCCACAAACTACGAGAGTCAGCCAGTGGACAAAATAAAGTCAGAATGTTGGTTCAAAACTGTTTTTATTTATTTATTTATTTTGTGTGTGTGTGTGTGTATGTTTATTCATTTTGATATATGCATGTATTTCATGCATTTGCTTACTGATTCATTTACTGATTATTTGTTCATTGCCTATGTAACGGCCAATGCTTTGGCAATACTGTATAAGTCATGCCAATAAAGCTCATTTGAATTTGAATTTGAATTTGAGAGAGAGATCGCAAGATGAACAGAAGGGCAAACATGCAGAAGACCCATAAAAGCAAGACAGAAATATGGAAGCTTGTTCTCGCCACAGAATAAAAAATATACTCTACTTTTTATCTCAGAATCATGTGAAATAAAGTCAAAATTACAATAAATAAAGTCAGAATTGTAATTGCAAGAAATAAACTCGAAATTCTGACCTTTTCTTTTATATCTCAGAATTTATATCACAAGAAAAGATGTCTCTGAGAAAAGATGTCATAAAGTCAGAATTGCGAGATATAAACTCGCAATTGAGAGAAAAAGTCTAATTTCTCACAATTGTGAGTTCATTTCCCACAATTCAGACTTTATAACACATTTTGTGACTTTATATTTTGCTATTCTGACTTTATAACGCGCAATTGCGATTTGCTACGTTATATTACTGAATTGGGACATTATATCAAGCAATTCTGAGAAATAACGTCAGAATTGAAGGTTGTGAAAAAGGCGCAGTAATGTTTTATTCTGTGGAAGAAGCAAGCTTACAGAGAGCCATATGAAGGAGAAAAGAGATAAACATTCAGAAGAATGTCAAAATACTGATTATTAATAACACAATGTGTTATAATGATGACCTCATTGTGTCTCTGGAGTTATTTAAGATTAAGATGGAGGTTTCACATACATTTATCCAATGTGTGTGTGTGCGTGTATAAGTTACTATACTATACACACACACACACCAGTGACAACTGATGACATATAATATAATGTATTTAAAATGACTATTTATAGTTATTAATTAGGGAAAATTCAGGTATATTAAGTCAGGTAACGTTACATTTATCACCAGAAAGGTTTATCTTTAATTAAAACCACTTATATTCTCTGAAACCTGTTTTTAATATACAGAATCATAATTTAAAATGTCTGAAGCCCGTCCTAGTCCAGCTGACTGCATTGTTTGTGTAATTTCATAAACTATAACGTTACTCACTTTTCAGACGTGGTTATCTGGCTAATTTAAGGCTGTTTGGGCAGTTTTCTGAGGGCAGATGGTCAGACATGAGCTTTAAACCCCAAATCCCCTCAGAGAGCAAAGGATTACCACATCTACTCTCCAACATCTTCACTGTTTCCCCTTAAAACACCCGTGACAGCTTCCAAACATCGCGTTTCTGTGAAATGTTTAGTCTTTATCTTCGCACGGCCGCGACTGACGGAGAGTTGAGCGTCTGACGGTTTAACGGTCGCAGTTTAAAAAGCTTTTAAAACTCTTGTGGCGCGATTGATAACTCGTATGCGCGTTCATGTTACTCCTGCGCTCGCAGTTATGACCAGTTCAAAAGTACTACTCCCATTTATGAACCACAATCTGACAAAACAACACAGAAACTTACCTGTTTTGCTTCAAAAGCCATCATAGTCCATATTCTCTGTGTTTTCTTCTAATCTGAGCGTTACAGACCAAGAGCTGTTCATTCAGTTTAATCACTGACTGCTGCGAGAGGAAAAGAGGCGGGACTACAGACACAACAGACACGCCTCCTCATTTACGTATGCAAGTTTGGGCCAATCAGAGCCTGCAGTCCGATTTCTTTACTCCGCGCAGCCAATCACAACACATGTGGCGGTTTATTTATGATTTAGCCTGTGGAATCGCTTTGCTTTTCAATTATATCTCTAAATAATAACAATAATTATATATATATATATATATAGTTACATGTAAATTTAATAACAGGTAAATTTCTCTGTATCAGGAATACGTGATTGTGTTTGGGTCTGTTATACGTTACATTAAATGCATTCATTCTAAAGTGACTTCTAAGAATTAGTGTGTAAATATATTATTATGCATAATTCAATCAAAGTCCTCATGATTCACAAGTCGAGTCCCCTTCATCTATACAGCGCTTTAACAGCAGCGTTACAGTGATAACAGGAGATTACAGTAACAGAGAGTGTTTAGGCTATACAGCAGATCTAGAATAAAGTTATTGTCCAGATAAAGTTAGTTTTGATTGATTCACTGCCGTTGTAAAGATCATTAGTGATTAACTCTGGGGCTGATAACACGACACCGCTCTACAGAACACCCTTGACACGCTCCGGCTCATTCACACGACCGAACAGTGTCAACATAAAACATATTCTCTCAGTTATGATCAGCTCACGATAAACACACACAGTGTCACGGTATAATAATACTGTGTGTTGTGAAGGAAACATCCCTCCGTCTGTGTTCTTTTCTTTCTTTCTGCTGTTTTCAGGGCATATAAACATTGAGAGGAACATCCTCCTCTTCCGGCCTCTCATTCCCACGTCCTGCTTCAGTCCCAGCGTGACCTTTGACCTGCAGATCCCGCTCTGTTCCTAACACACACACACAAACCTAATCCCTAGACCTATAATTCTGTATGGTTTATGAGCTTGTTTCCTCAGTCTAGGTCCACAGTGACACGAGTCCCCATGAGTGTGTGTGCTTTCAGGGTTAAGTCCCCACTGAGATAGAAAAACATGTACATGTACACACACACACACACACACACTGGAGTGGAGGAGGATGTGTGTTGGTCGCTGTGCATGTTTTTTTCTTGCAATTTCTGCCCCCTACAGGACCGAGCACAGCACTGCAGCTCTGTTACTGTAATAGCGCAAATATCACACACAGGTCAGGTGTGAATCACAATGCCTTGCATAAAACCATTTAAGAAGGCGAGAAAGACAATAAATCATATGCAATTATACTTTGAGGACAAAACTCCCATAAATCAATGTGTATTGAGTAGGGCTGCAACGATTCGTCGACGTTGTCGACAAAAATCGATAATAGAAATAGTCGACAATGAATTTCATTGTCGAATTGTCGCCAGACATGTTTTTTTTTTCCGACCGAGCACATTCGCTTCTCTGCTGAGCGATAACATACAGAAATGGCAGTGTCCAACGCAGCAGCTGCACATACCAAAACATCTAAAGTTTGAGAGCATTTTAGCCTGGATACGGTGAATAAAAAGGTTGCCTGTATCATGAAAAGCAGTCCTTGCTATCACGGCAGCGCCTCGGTGATGCACGAACATTTAAAAAGAAAGCACGTCGGACAGTTGAATAAAACGGAGTTTGACTCGCCTCGGTAAGATTTACTGTATTTTCCGAAATATAAGGCGAATTTAAAAGCCTTCAATCTCCTCAAAAAACGACAGTGTGCCTTATAATCCGGATCTTCATATATATGGAACAAATTAGTTAACAACGCCCCGCGTTATCAAATTCGCTCGCGAACTCGCGCTCGTGTCCATCTTATGCCTGCTTTGTCACACAGTTCAACCTCGTATAAATCAGGTTATGTGCGTCTCCCGCTCACGAGCGCTCACTCTTAACAGACACACTGTCCCCGGCGCTACTCGGGCGTCACAGAACGTTCATAAAGCGCTCCCCGTTCATAGTAACCGGGTCGTCTCACACTCTCATTCATAACAGCCAGCTGTTGCTGACGAGCCGCCGCAATATATGAGTCCAGGCTGCGAAAGTTACGTGCACGCCCCAGCGCGCTCACACTAATAAACGCCTCACCAGCTCCGGCGCCGCGCACTACATTCCCTTTAGCACATCTAGTTGATGCATAACGCAAAGTCGCAAACCCAGTCGAACGTGTGACTGCAGTATCTTATGCGCCTCATAATCCGGTGCGCCCTATATATGAAAAATGTTCTAAAATAGGTCATTTATTGAAGGTGCGCCTTAAAGTGCGGAAAATAGGAGACACCCCTCGCTGCAGCCTGTAGCACGATGACGTAGCTGGATGGTCCAATACGTGTTGGACCCTGTAACGCGCACATGCGCACTAGTCAAGTCAAGTCATCTTGATTTATATCGCTTTTAACAATTAAGATTGTTTCAAAGCAGCTTAGATACGCATATAATTTAATGTAACAGATTGTTTTTGCTTTATAGCGGTTCATGAATAATGTTATTTTACAGCTAAAGTTAGTTTTGATTCTGTCGAAATGATAATTTGTTATTAAATTAGGGGATGACACCGTTCTCTCTAAACAGACTTTAAACGCGATCCTGTGATAAACGCTGATGGCACATGCACATTAATAATTCATAGGCCTAGTTAGTGTAGAGAGTTGGTGAACAATCGTTGATCTTCCAAGAATTAAATATGGTCACGAGCGAAGCTCTTATTTTCAGAGCAGAATAAAACTTTTTTTAAAAAAAATAAATAATTGCGACTTTTTCCTTACAATTGCGAGTATACTTTTCGCATACTGACTTATTTCTCAGAATTGTGAGATATAAAGTCAGAATTGCGTGAAATAAAGCCTCAATTGCATGTTATAAAGACATAATTGCTTGAAATAAAGCCTCAATCGCATGTCATAAAGACATTATTGCTTGAAATAAAGCCTCAATCGCATGTTATAAAGACAGAATTAGGTGAAATAAAGCCTCAATTGCATGTTATAGAGACAGAATTAAGTGAAATAAAGCCTCAATCGCATGTTATAAAGACAGAATTGCGTGAAATAAAGTCGCAATTGTGTGCTATAAAGTCAGAATTCTGACCTTTTTTCTCGCAATTCTGAATGTATAACATAAATGCGAGTTTATTATTACAAGATTTATTTTCCCCATGCTGTTATTATTTTAGCATTTTCCTTACTTATTCATCAATAATTACTTATAATTATTTAACAGTATTATACTATACAGTTTGAACATCATCTCAGTACAATATTGAGCTTACATATCACTTAAAACCAATGCATTCGAATTATAATCAGAGATCGGCACTGCGCATGCGTAAATGACGTCACCCAAACACACATCCATCCACTACGTATTGGACCATCCAGCTACGTCATCGTGCTACAGACTGCAGCGAGGACCTCTTGGAAAATAGGGCAAATAACATGGAAGTCAATACGTTTTGTTTTGGATCACGAGTAGTAAAGTTATTTCGCAACAGATTGACCACTGAATGTATCTCACAAAATGCACTTGATATTTTTGTTTACTGTTTTATTGCTGCTAATGTGCCTGCCCCTGGTTTAGCTACAGGAAGAAAATGTTTACTTGATATTCATTTATTTTTTCTTGTAAAACAAATGTGCCTGGCCTTTATAAAAATGATAGTTTCTCTATTTATACATTTATGTCTATACTGACCAAGCACTCTGCCTAATTGGTTTTAGACAGGGCATTTTTTATTTACTTTTAGTATGAATCGGCCTATCAGCAGCAAAGTTCAATAAAATATGCATTTTTTATTGAAGTACCCCCTTCTTTCTTGTGTTTACTATAATTTTCCACAGAATTAAAGCAATTCATGCTAAATTTTAGAAAAATGTAATAATTATCCGATTAGTCGACTAATCGTTTCAATAGTCGGTGACTAGTCGACTATTAAAATAGTCGTTAGTTGCAGCCCTAGTATTGAGAACGTGATGTGCTACTTACATGATTTCTGCAATTTTTTTTAAATGTAATGTTTTTTATTTACATTTTTCCTGAATTCTGGTAAATATGCTACTTTTAATACACAGATCCAAGATGTTTTGTTAACGCAATAACGCCCACCCTCAAACGTATAGTCTTTATAAAAAAGAATTGCCAACACATAATCATAAAATCTTTAAATGATAACTTCATAACTTGTGAGGTATTAGTCTCACTCTGTCATAACTGAGTTGTTTATGAATTAGATGACATGAGCTCAGTTACCCACACAACATGTTTAGCAGGTTTTGCTGTCAGAAATGAAAGTATTTTCTGAGTTTTACTGTGCGCCATTTTACAGCAGGGCATAAAACGATTGTTTAAGGCAGAAAACTTGAGCATTAAAGTGTTTAATATTTCTACTTTCCTCTGGAGGAATATACAGTTTGAGACGGGAAACACAGTGGTGTTGGGAAACTGTGGTAAACTCCAGGTGAGTGAGCTTTACTCAGTTGAGCTGATCTTGAGGCACTTCCTCATCAACTAATGAAATGCTTTCTTAAGTTTATTGTAACAACCTAAACATCAAGTACTTAATGAAACATGAATTTCTTGAAATTATTATAATATGTAATGATGTTATAAAAGCCACAACACCACTAATAGTTAACTTTAAATGCTATAGTTTACATATTTAAATTACCAAAATAAATAAATAAAGTGCAGATATTGTTGTAAAAAAACAAAACAAATTTGAGACAAGTTTGAAAAAGTAAGTTACAGTATAATTTCTGACTCATCAGTGTTAACGAGCAGCTCCATGAAGACTGACTGAATCATGGACGACACACACACATTCAGAGATGGAGATTTCTCTCCAGGATGCAGGTACTTCAATCTTCATATCAATTAATGTAATGTATATCACATTTCAGGATGTTCTGTGTTTTCAAGGGCTGTTAAGGTGATCTGAGTGGTTTTCTCATATTAATGTGCTGCTGATATATAATTAGGATCCAGACGGTCTCTGTACACAGAGTAACATTATTCTTGTGCAATGCCAATGCTATTCAACATTTCCAAAGCTACTTTAAGATAGACACAATTTTCTATGTGATGTTTTTATAGATGTTAAATTGACTATAATAATTCTTGTCTCTTTTCTATTATCTCTATTCTAATGTGTCTGCTGTATTAATGTTGATTCCACAGTGAGAGATATAACTCACCAGAGCCCAGCCATGTGTCCATGAAGAGTGACGCGTCTATGGACCAAATAATAACGCTCAAGGGAAGAAAAACAGTAGCTGATCTGAGGTACAATATTACTGTCTGTTTGGACAGATGGACTGAGATAGATAGATAGATAGATAGATAGATAGATAGATAGATAGATAGATAGATAGATAGATAGATAGATAGATGGATAGATGGATAGATGGATAGATGGATGGATAGATGGATAGATGGATAGATGGATGGATGGATGGATGGATGGATAGATACTCTGTCAGATTTCTCTTAATGTAAAATCTTCATGAAAAAATTCTCGTTATTCTATTATCTCTATTCTAATGTGTCTGCTGTATTAATGTTGATTCCACAGTGAGAGATATAACTCACCAGAGCCCAGCCGTGTGTCCATGAAGAGTGACGCGCCTATGGACCAAATAATAACGCTCAAGGGAAGAAAAACAGTAGCTGATCTGAGGTACAATATTTCTGTCTGTTCGGACGGACGGAGATGGATGGATGGATAGATAGATATATTCTCTGCCAGATTTCTCTTCTTGTAAAATCTTCATTATAAATTATTGTCACTATTCTATTATCTCTATTCTAATGTGTCTGCTGTATTAATGTCAATTCCACAGTGAGAGATATAACTCACCAGAGCCCAGCCATGTGTCCATGAAGAGTGACGCGCCTATGGACCAAATAATAACGCTCAAGGGAAGAAAAACAGTAGCTGATCTGAGGTACAATATTTCTGTCTGTTCGGACGGACGGAGATGGATGGATGGATAGATAGATATATTCTCTGCCAGATTTCTCTTCTTGTAAAATCTCCATTATAAATTATTGTCACTATTCTATTATCTCTATTCTAATGTGTCTGCTCTATTAATGTTGATTCCACAGGGAGAAATATAACTCACCAGAGCCCAGCCATGTGTCCATGAAGAGTGACGCATCTATGGACCAAATAATAACGCTCAAGGGAAGAAAAACAGTAGCTGATCTGAGGTACAATATTACTGTTTATAGCTGTGTTCAGCTTTATGAGGCACAGTACAGACTGATCAGGGTAAGATTTAAAGGAATTGCATGTTGGTTAGAAATTTCATCTGACAGCACATTGTGATGACAGCTGTTTCATTATTGGTCAGACTCACTAACAACAATAATGACGTGCATTTTATGTTTATTCTGACACCTTCTACAAATGCTCATAAAACATGGTTTAAAGGGACAAAGTGTACTTTATGTATTTTATTATTTAAAATCAATATTTTTATTCATAAATATTTATCCTCAACGGTGTACAACCTCTGCCAATTATTTGACTTATCCTCATAAACGAACAATTTATTATCTTTATATACATGGGACGGGTATGTCCACGAAGGCTTCAATGTCATTCTGCCATCTTGAAAAACTATAATAGCAGAGAGGGACATAAAGTACTAGGTCAACGCGTTTCCACAATGTGTTTTCGTTCAGAGCCAGTGTGACGTGACTGAACACAGCAGAAACGGAGGAGCAGAGCAGTGAGAGGCGCAAGGTTAAAAGCTGCATTGCAAATCCTCGTTGCCAGAAAAGTCCAAAATATATCATAAAAGGAAACGTGACCGGAGATTACAAAAAACACGAGTTAATGTCGGAATAGATTTTTTTCAGGTGGATGGAGCTAATGCAAGAGAAAGATTTCAGAAGAGACTCCCACAGTCCGCAGAGTATCAGCACCCCAGGGAATGAGGAGGAGGCTTCAGGCAGACCCACCAGTCCAAGACAACAACCAGTCCACCGCAAAGAAGAAAACATGCAAGGACAAAAGCCGTTGGTGAAATGGCCAAAATCTAACAGCAAGGAGTGGGAAACCATCAACACAGACTTAAGACTTATCCTAAATAACATCAAAGGGTCAGCTGGAGAAAATGGGCGACCTTATTTACAGCTACAGAGAGGAGAAATGTGGAACAAGTCAAAAATAAACACATGCTTCCCGCCCCCAAGTCCCGTCGGCTGCCAGAAATCCAACAACTTGTAAAAGAGAGGCGACAGCTAAGAAAGTTGTGGAGAAAGGCAACAGTGGAAGAAAGGGAAGGCATCAACGTACTTCAAGGACCTAAAGCAAAGGCTCTCAAAACTACGCCGAGCAGAAAGCTTACGGATGCGCCGGAACAAGAAAGAAAAAGCCAGAACCCTTCTATAAAGATCTGTTTAAATTTGTGAAAGGTATATTCACAAAGGAGAAGAGTGGATCCCTGAAAATATTGTTGTGGAGAAATTTGGAACTTCTCTTCTAATCTTCAAAGTCTGGTTCAGGTCTCGGAAGAAATCGTTCAGAGTCGAAGTCTCAGGTCTCAGGAAGAATGACTTTATTAATAATATTAATAATATTATCAATAAGACCTTGTTGCCAGGAACATCTCAAGGTATGGCGTTTTCAGTTTGGAATTCTCCCAAGACTCTTGTGGCCTTTAACCGTATATGAGATCCCCATCACCAAGGTTGAAAAGTTGTAGCGGCTAGTAAGCACACAGCTGAAGCAGGGGCTTGGAATTCGACATTGTTTAAGTTCTGTTGGTCTTTATGCAAGTTGGAATTACCAATCACAGGGCTCGTTGAAGAGTTTAAATGGGCCAAAGCAAGTCATGACCTCTGAATCTGAGGATGCAGTCATTCAAACAGCAGCCCCCCGGGTGGTAGCAGGAAGAAAAGCCATCAGAAGCTGTTCAGAGTGCAAAGTCTGCGCTTCATTTCAGAGATGTGGTTGGACAAGTACAGCATGGAAGGGCATAGTTTGGACTCATCCCCAAAACTCCTCTGTGGCATCAATAATGGAAAAGAAGTGAACCACCACAATCTCCCACAAACATCGGCAGTACAGGTCAACTTCACAAATTTCGTACCAGCAGGCCAAAATCAGAAACTGAGTACAGCACCTAAGGATACAAGCATCCTGCAGTCAGCGTGGGATTGGAAGTGGACTTTGATAAGAAGCTTGTATTTCCCCCAGAAATAGTGGCTACAACACTCCAACCAGACATGGTCCTGTGGTCTCCAACAACAAAACTAGTGTATGTTGTGGAATTAACAGTACCATGGGAAGATGGAGTTGAAGAGCCTTTGTGAGAGGAAAAAGAATAGATATTCCAACTGAAGGAATACAAATTTATTATATGTTTCGTAAAGGTTTAACAGTATTTTTAACTGAAAAATGGATACAGTGATTACCATTTTGAGGCCCAGAAGATTAAGCCAAGCATTGCAGGTGTCACACATTAGCTTTTGTCTTTTGCACTTCCTGGCCATTAAGTTCAAGATACAGCTCTGCTTTTGTAATGGTAAAGGTTTAACCACTCTAGTCAGACTGATTGGATTAGCATCTCAAGGCACAGAATAACTGCTATGCTGATGAACTGAGGTAACTAGTGGAATCATTTACAGTTGCTTTGTTTCAGTGTCTCCACCTTTATGTAACCCCACCCTCTTTGAAATGTATAAACTAGAATGTAAAGTTTTTTTTAAGTCAGACGATGTTGAAATGACTGCAGCTATCAGCAATAAAGAACTTCTGCTTGGAAAACGTCCATTGTCTCCTCAGCTTCTAACTTTTCTACAAGGAAAAAGTTCCCCACACAACCAAGCAGCTGAAGCATCCCAGAATGGCTGGAATACCAGTATCTTCCCAGTAGAGGTAGGGTGCAGTGGATTTGTTGATACATCTTCCACGAGTTTGTTGAGAAAAATAGGGGTGAAGGGTCACGGTCTCCAACAGGCCATCAAGTCCATGTCAAGTGCTCCCGAGAAAAGCAGTAACTGGCTCTGGATCAAGCGTAAGGACTCCAATTCTGCAGCAAGGTAGAGTAAGATGGTATGTGGGCAGTCTTAGGCCCGACTCAGGGAGAAGGATGCCCCTGCCATGCAGAGCCCATCAGGGATATGAAGGGTATTGAGCCTCATGTAGACGTTGTGGGCTTCAATGAACGAAACGTTGATGAAGCAGGGTGCCCACCTGATGACTCCAATGACATACCTTATCCTCCTTTTCACCACCCCACACTGACTGTTACTGTGAAGAGTTTTCTAATAAAGGAATTGAAACATCTAGTCCTATTAGCTTTACTACCATTACTTCTTTCAACAAGGACCATGGAGCACATACCAAATACATTATAATCTAGGGCTGTTTTCGACTAGATTATAATGTAGATCGACTAGATTATAAATTTTCATAGTCGAATCTGATTCGTTAGATTTTGCCGTAGTCGACTGATAATCAAACCTTTTTTTTTCAGATAGGTCTAGCAGCTATATTTTTTCCATTTCAAACAAAAGAGATGGACGTACGCGCATTAGGCTATTCGTTCTGTGTTTTTTTAGGCTATGTTTAGGTAGTATTTTTCATGTTTTTATCACGCAATCATGTTTTTGATGCGTTGGTGAGCTTGTAACTTGTAACTACGCTTTAGCGATTAGCAGTGGCGCTGCCGAAAATAAAAAGCTGTCACAAAGAACAAATATAGCAAGGAGACATTTTAATTGTTTATTAATAAAGATGAAGTTGACGATGCTGCGCGATCTTCACAGGTGCATGCGCCAGAGAGAAATGCACAGTTCATTTCATAAGCAGAGAGCATTACGTTTTCTTTCGTTTTGAATCGTTCTATTTACAAGTAAACATTTCAATATAGACATATGTTTCAGGTCTGTGGAGTAGACTATACTTATACGCTGAGTTGCGGTAGCTATATTTATGAGACGAGCTCCAGTTCACACATCGGTGCCTCGCCTTGATTATCAGTAATTGTCTACTTTTCCTTCTTATTGATTAAATCAAGACAATTGGTTGACGAAACATTAATTAAACAGAAAAGCACAAAGCCTTTCTTTAAAGTGAATTTCGTTTTTAAAGTTCGCTGTTAAAGTTTTAAAGCAGTCTTTAAGTGCTGCTTCAGAGTAGGGGTTTCATCAACTAGTCGACTAGTCGACTGTCACAACCACTAGTTGGCGCTGTTGGCCTTAGTCGACTAGTCGGAAACAAAATTATGACATATATAGATATATTTTTTTGTGAACTATCCCTTTAAGTACAATACTATATACTATAAGCACTATAAGGCGCACCTTCAATGACCTATTTTAGAAAATTGTTTTAAACGTTTGACTGGGTTTGCATTATGCATCCACTAGATGTGCTAAAGGGAATGCAGCGAGTGTGCGGCGTCACAGATGAGGTGCTTATTTAGTAAGCGTGAGCGGGCTGGGGCGGGCACGTAACTTACATTCGCAACCTGACTCGCAGACAGCAACAGCTGTTGAATGAGACGACCCGGTTACTGTGAACGGGGAGCACTTTATGCACATTCTGTGACGCCGGGGACAGTGTGTCTGTTCGTGTGTGTAAGAGTGAGCACTCGTGAGCGGGAGACACATAACCTGATTTATACGAGGTTGAACTGGCCGTGTGACAAAGCGGGCATAAGATGGACACGAGCGCGAGCAATTGATCCATATATAATGCGCTCCGGATTATAAGGCTTGAGAAAAGGCCGGATTGAGAAAATTAAAGGCTTTAAGTGAGCCTTATAGTGCGGAAAATACGAGTATTACTACTTTCGCTTAGACCAGCATGCGACGTGTTTAATATAGACGCATATTACACCAGATTTTCTCTCAAATGTTTGCTTTCACTTTTGACATAGCCATTTCTGTTTATATAAACATTGTGTGTATTTAACAGTATTAGCATAATAAGACTTTGAAAGATAACTTAGTCCAGTATTCTGGCGCTGTTTGACAGGCGCCTGTGAGCGTCGGGGGTATGCCGCGCGCTCAGGAAAGCGCACGTTAGAACAGCGCATGAATTAATGTTTAACCGGAAAGGCTTATGCAAATAATGAACTTTTGTGAATTGCAGTGTACCGTACCTATTCCTTAACGTGTGATGTGTAGGCTACGTCGCGTTGTACAGTTGAGACAGAGGCGCTAGAACTGATAGAATGCACTGTAACACGATACTACCATATTTCTTCAAAAGCAGATCGTGGAGACATTTACTATTCGTGATATCGCACACCCATAGAATAAACCATTTAACGACAAGTCGACTAGTTGTCGACTGTTATACAAAACCAGTCGACTAGCAAAAATCAGTAGTTGTGAAACCCCTACTTCAGAGCGCTCGTGTCCATCGGAGAACTGTCACGTCTGTAACATTGCTTTTTCCTTTGTGAACACGAAAAATAATATTTTATGTTTTGTGGAGAGCCAACCCTTCCTCATCTGATTTGAGCAGTGTAATTCACAGAATTACAAAAAATATATTTTGCCCCCTAAAACTTAAAGATTTTTTGTCATGCATGAATGCCTGTCTATTTCAGGCTAAATATAAAACGCATACCGTATTTTCCGCACTTTAAAGGGATAGTTCATTTTGAAATTACGTAATTTTTTATATGTTTTAGCTTACCTCAAGGGCATCCAAGATGTAAGTGTCTTTGTTTCCACAGTATTTTCAATTTTGACATTTTTCAGTCAAACCGTTGTTGTCTATCAGTCATACACTGGAGGCTAAGGGGGTCCACCAAAGAGCAGCACAGAGAAGTCCAAATTAAACATGATTGACTCGTAAATGTAAGTACACACTGATGGCCTAAGACACAAACGAGCGGTTTGAGTGAGAAAACGAACAGTATTTATATCGTTTTTATCTCTTGTAATAATAGCCATGAAAAAATGATCTGACGGCACGGGCGCTTTGGTCTGCGCATGCGCTGGAAGTGATCGCCTACGCGCCGACGTCACTCTTTGTTTATACAGAGATTTGGGAAGTTTTACCTTTCACTAAACATATTTAGATATACGGGAAACCACAATGGAAGACGATTTCGGTATATCTAAATATTTTTAGTAAAAGGTAAAACTTCCGAAATCTCTGTGTAAATATTGAGTGACGTCACACGCAAGCGATCACTTCCGGCGTAACATTGAACTGATTCAGTTCGGTTCAGTTGGACATTGGACAACTGATTCAGATCACTGTGATTACACGAGGTAAAAATGATATAAATACTGTTGGTTTTCTCACACAAACCGCTCGTTTAGTGTCTTAGGCCATCAATGTATACTTACATTTACGAGTCATTAAATCATGTTTAATTTGGACTACTCTGTGCATCCTCCAGTGTATGACTGATAGACAACAACGGTTTGACTGAAAAATATCAAAATTGAAAATACTGTGGAAACAAAGACACCTACATCTTGGATGCCCTTGAGGTAAGCTAAAACACATCAAAAATTAATTTCAAAGTGAACTATCCCTTTAAGGCGCACCTTCAATGAATTACCTATTTTAGAACATTTTTCATATATAGGGCGCAACGGATTATGAGGCGCATAAGATTTGACTGGGTTTGTGTTATGCATCCACTAGATGTGGTGGGAATGTAGCGAGTGCGCGTGCCGGAGGTGAGGCCTTTATTAGTGTGAGCGTGCTGGGGCGGGCACGTAACTTACATTCGCAGCCTGACTCATATGAGTATTCAATGTGCGGCGGCTCGCTGACAGCAACGGCTGGCTGTTTTGAATGAGACGACCCAGTTACTGTGAACGGGGAGCGCTTGATGAACATTCTGTGACGCGCGAGCAGTCCGGGACAGTGTGTCTATTCGTGTGTCTGTTGTGAGCGCTCGTGAGCGGGAGACACACATAACCTGATTTATACGAGGTTGAACTGGCCGTGCACTATTCGACTATAACGTTCATAGACGAATCAGACCTCTCCGAATCGAATCGTCGAATCCTCGACTATTAGAAGTCAGCCCTATTATAATCACCATTTGCCACAACATACCTTTTTGCTGTAGCGATTGGGTGAATAGACAGTATTTCGGCACTTTACGCATTTACCAGGGTCACTGAACGCTGGCAAACATAACAGAGCCCTACTACAGCCAAAGCAATAAACAAGCAGGGATAGGCTAAAACAGCTACAATAAAAGTGTACCTCCTCTGTGCTCGTCAGTCTAGACACACACAACCAGTAGCGCCATTGGTAATCACTCGGCAACACCTTGCGCTACAAACAGCACCCCGGAACACTGCTGAACTTAGCAGCATTAGCAGCTAGCTATAGTGGATCGCGCCCGGATGTGGACCCCAGGTGCCTTTACACATGCCTGTTCTCAATTCTCATAAAAATATATCATGCCAATTACAATTACACAATTAAACAATTAAAAGCCAATTCAGAAGTAATATTTGCATTTCAACAATTGCTTAAAGATGACTGTGACAGTAAGAAATGTATACCTGACAGAGATATACAGTGGTGTGTGAGTGTGTTCTGAGTGTAAGAGACACATCACTGCATAGTTTTCTGGTTCCAGGTTCCCAAAGCCTGCTCTGCCACTTACCCTTAAATACTCAGACCAGAACAAAAGACAAATATTTTTAGAGTTGTTTTGGGTCTATTCAAGTACCCCAGAGGCTAACACCTGGTTTCGAAGGAGTGGGGAGCATTATCAGATATCTTGAAGAGACACCACCCAAAAAGGAGGACAGAATTCTCCTAAGTTTTCAATCTTTCACAGAATATCAATGACTGCTATTAAATTACCTGCTTTATTGCAGGGGGTATGATCTCAGCTTTTGTCTTAGCAGGAAAATCAAGTTTTACATAATCTTAATAGTGTTGTGTTTATAGAAGTAAATAAATTAATAAATTGGTATTTAAATAGTAAACGCTTATGTTAACTTTATTATTGTAGGTGTAAGCAGTTCTGGTTAGATGTTCTGGTTGCTCCATGTAAACGCCTGAAATGTTTATTTGACAAATATAACATCTTATACTCTTTGTCTGTGATAAAGAAAGCAAACACTGTGAAAGTGTCACTATGGGAAGCAGAAATTGATGGATCTGTTTTAAAGTTCTCCTATAAACCTATAAACTAGATTTGTGCTTCTCAATCTTGTCCTACAGGCCCCATCACTACATGTTTTCTGTCTCCCTCAACAGGCAGAGATCAAACCAACCAGAGTCCAGCTGTGAATCCATGGACCGGTCTATGAGAGAGCCAATAACTTACAAGGAAAGACAAACATCAACTGATCTGAGGTACAACATTTTTTGTCTAGAGATAGTATATATATATATATATATATATATATATATATATATTTGAAGTCTTGAGCCAATCATCTCTTCCTCTTCTCTATCAGTTTTAGCATGAAAACATAATTAACACAAATTAACTTCATATGTTAAAGGATACAATACACAGTGCTTTTTTTGTGATTGTTGCTAGCAAAAATCCTTGATTATGCGGCCCATATTCTTTAAAAATGCGATGGAATTGTCAGGATTTGTCATGTTGTGTGTGTTAACTTATGGCCTGTGGTTTGTCATGTGTCTTTGTTTAGTCTGGTCTGTTATGTTAATTCCTTGTGCTCTCCTGTCAATTGTCTGACCCCGCCCATCTTGTTACCTCATTATTGTTTAATTTCCCTCACCTGCCTGCCTTGTTACCCTCGTATGTTTGTTCCTTATTTAAGGTCCTTGTGTTGGTTACTCAGTGTTGGTTCGTTGTCGTATAAGATCATTCTGTTCTGTGAGCTGTCTTGATCAAAGTTTGTACCTTGTTTGTTAATTCTAGTCTCATGTCTTTTTCAAGTTTATTAGTCTAGTATTGTCTACGTTCGTTTGCCCCCTTGTGGGTTTTTGTTTTCTATCTGTTAATTAAAGTTATGTTTATTTATGACTGTCTGCGCTTGGGTTCATTTCTGCATTTCGTGACAGGAATATGCGGGATATGTATGACATTTTATTGCAATGAAATTGCGGGAACTTGCAAAAAATGTGGTTTGATGAAAAAGAGAAAAAAAACTAATTTCCCCCAACACCTTGTTCTCGCTAGGCTACTACCTTCAATATAAAGAGTAATTTCTTATTACTTCATATTGATAAGCAAGCATGCTACATCACAGAAAGTGCTGGGAATATTTAATTTCTCATCTTGTTTTATTTCAGAATGTAACAAGTGGAATTAAGATGTGGCCTCCAATCTTATTTTTTTATTAAGTAACGATGTGGACGGTGGAATGTGTGACAGGCGGTTATACGAGTGCGGTTTGGGAATAAAGTGTAATTGTGAAATGCCAGTGGCCTCTATGAGTCTGTCTGGCCTCTGCAATAACTTCAGCTGTGAGCTATTCCTATTTTCTTCCCGACACAATGCGTTACAAGACCTTAATGACCTTGCATGGCTGACACCGCCGTCGGTGTATGAATGAGTGTATGAATGGGTGAATGTGAGGCAAATGTAAAGCGCTTTGGTCAGGCGCGGAGTTTGCGGGGGGGCAGGGGGAGCGTTGCCCCCCCGGTGGCTGAAACGGGTAATCGCATTTTCTTAAAAAAGCTGTAAAAAAACTACCAACCCCAATCTCTTTAAGTTATCGCTCACTCGGTCGATTGTGTCATCTAACTCTGAGAGAAGCTTTTCTGCGATAAATGGGCGTCAATTTGAAATGTGCTGGGGACAGAGACGTACTCGAAAGGGCATTTTCACAAGTGCTGGGTACGCATTCATTTTCTCTCTTTCGAGTTGGTCATGTTTTGAAAGACGATGTTCTGTAGCTCCTGATGTACATAAATAAAAATGAGCACAATGTCCGAGTATAGTGAGTATATAAAGTATATACGCCCTTTATTGCATAAATAAAAATGAGCACAATGTCAGAGTATAGCACTTTTTTCATGTGTATAGCGAGTATATAAAGCATATACTCCCTTTTTCGTGTATACATGGTCCAGATCCAGGACTCGGGAGGTTCGAGGTTCTAATCCGCACTCGTAAAGTTTTTTTTTCCCCTCATCAAAACCAATAGGTAGCCTAATCCCGTGTCTTAAAATTTTTTCAATGATTCATGAAGTATAAATGCGAAATTGAAATAGTTTTTTTAATCATTATCATTGCCAGAATGTGTTTTGAAAAAAGGAAAGAAAACTTTAAGGTTGAAGATAATATTTTAACAGTGCAAAAGTGGTCCACATTTCATGATCCTATAACGAAGATGCGACGCGAAGTGGCTGTTAATGGGAAGTTCTAGCTGTTTACAATGACATAAAGGCAATAAAATATCAGTGTATTGTTTTACTGTTTTTTCTTGGGATAAAAATAAATATGTGTTTATTTAGCATGTTTTTTTTTTTTTGCCCCCCCTGGCTCGAATGTCAAACTCCGCCTATGGCTTTGGTGGCCATTAGGTCTATGAAGGCGCTATATAAATGCAGTCCATTTAATAAACCAAGATTTACAAAATTACAAAACGCCTCAGGTTACGACTGTAACCTATGTTCCCTGAGAACAGGGAACAAGACAATACGTCGAATGACGCTATGGGGAACGCCTCAGGCGTGACAGATGTCTGAAATCAAATACCAACTCACAGCAATCATGTTGATCGGTGACAGCCCGTGCATCATCAGCTGGAATGATGAGCGCATCAATCTGGATGTAGAAAAAGAGCGCCTTAAAACCGTGACAACATCCTATCGTCTGAAGGGACTGTTGCAGGCAGGCCCCGAGGCATGGCAACGAGACGAATTGTCTCGTTCCCTGTTCTCAGGGAACATATGTTACAGTTGTAACCTGAGACATTCCCTTTCGAAGGGAACTCAACAATACGTTGAATGATGCTATAGGGAACGAGTAATTTCAGAACGATGCTATACAGAACCAGTAATTTCAAGGAACACTGAAACCACTCACCCTTTGTCACATCGGGCTGTCAGTGACAGCACTCCCTATCGGTCAAAGCCCAAGCTAATGAAACAAGAAAAAAAAAACGTAATAAACGTGAGTAAGTCTGGGCCAGCTCAAAGGCTTTAGGACCACAACTTCCAAATAGAAGGGGTCCCTTCTAAGGAGTGTGGCTAGGGGGCCAAAGGGACCCCCAGCCAGTCACTATTCAGGAGAACACTCCTCCTGAAATGCCCCCAGGTTGACCTGGTGATCTGTACTAAGACACACAATCTGGCCATATCCAGTCCATCCGAGACAGAGCCTCTGGAAATTGCCTAGGAAAGGCATCCAAAAACTGAAGGCCTGCGAAGCTGGCAGACACCATCGAGTTTCGGATCACAGAGACGGGATCCTCCGGAGAGTGTGACTTAACCTCAAAACAACGGGAGTCGTTCACTCAAACCGGCGACCACACCGGGTGGGAGCTCGTACTGAGGAAGGTCAGTGAGACCCAGCCTGGTGACCACAACCTGTGGGAGCTTACTTTCAGGCAGTGTTAATTTCGTTGACGAAAATAATGACGAAAATTACTCGTCAACTACATTTTTTCACAGACGAAAACGAGACGATAACTAAATAAAAACTAGTTTTGAATGACAAAAACTATGACAAAAATCTATTGACATTTGTCAACGAATAAAAACTAGACGAAAATGTTATATAGTGATGATTTGGGAAGCGATCCAGTCAGAACTGATGTCCTGCGTGTGTGGTAGATGCCCACATTGGTATTGTAACGTTCTGATCTACCCCACGATCTCATAAAACATTAAAACGTGTGATCGCCTGGGAGAATGAGTAGAGCAGACATATAGATATGAATAAGAGTGACGATGCAAAAAAAGAGCTTTATTCTGTTCGGTTCTCCGTGCACACACACCCGACCCGAAGCGCGCAGCCATGCACACACACACATATGAAGTGTGCGAGGACTGAACTGAGCTCTCTTTCGTGTCTGAATGGACAAATACACACAACATTATGTCTAAATGTCCGTTTCGGACAGTATTCATGCAAACTATGTCGATTATGACAAACAGTTGTGAGTGTATCAGATGTGCATCAGTGCAATTAGATCCCCATGTCATTGGAAATGATCCGACATCTTAAAGTGATTGTGGCAATAAACATATGTGGTCTATGTCCTTAATATTGATCAAGCAGCAGATGAAAAAGAGAAAAGCATTCACTGTTTGTTAATAGCTTTAGTAAACAGGCTAATAAGGATTAATTCTATTTAATTTATTAAAATAAATGTCTGCTTGAAAGAATAAAGAAAGATGTATTCAAGTTATAAAGAATGCATAAATCATTAATTGAAAAGAAGACTACTTGTAGGCTACTTTAGGAAAAGTGGTTTTATTTAATTTTAAGATTTTTTTAAGTCACAGTAGTTAAATCCGTATCTGTATTGCATGTTCAGACTTTTAAATCATTCATATTAACAGGTTAATAGATGTTTTTTTCAGGAGTATGGGTTTGTAAATTTTATTCTATTCTAAATTCTAAATAAATGCATTATAATTTAACTAAACCAATTATATTTTAGTCGACTAAATCTACTGTAGATTTAGTCGACTAAAATCATATTGAATTTCGTCGAATAAAACTAGATTAAAACTAAAACAATTCAGATGACTAAAATAAGACTAAAACTAAATGCCATTTTAGTCAAAAGACTAAAACTAAATCAAAATTTGCTGACAAAATTAACACTGCTTTCAGGAAGAACTGATAAGGCCTGTACCCTCAAAAACCACATCAAGTGGAAGCTACTTCCAGAAGTAAGCCAGAGAAGGGCGTCCGTCGTAGCCTACTTAAGCGACAGGACGCCTCATAAAGTGGGACCCGAGAAAAGACCAGGGTCTGAGCCACATAAGAAGGGTTCGAAACGTACCGCATACGTTCAGATGCCGCGCCCACTTCCCTCGAAAAGTGGGACAGACGAGGGCAGAGAGTTCTGATAGGATTCCCTCGAGAGCTTCCCGCGCGTGCTCTTCTCCCAGGCAGAACACGCACAGATCGTGTGAATCCTCCAGTGTCAAATATCTAGACACAGGTCAGCACACTCGCGAAAAGTGTTTATCCGCGTCTCTGCACGCTTCATCGTTGATACTATCAAACAGACAAACGTCCCTGAAGACGAAAAGGATGTCACGGTTTCAAGGCGCTCTTTTTATACATCCAGATTGATGCACTCATCATTCCAGCTGATGATGCACGGGCTGTCGCCGGTTAACATGATTGCTGTGAGTTGATATTTGATTTCAGACTCCTGTCACGCCTGAGGCGTTCCCCATAGCGTCATTCGACGTATTGTTGAGTTCCCTTCAAAAGGGAACATTGATGAGTCGAACAAGTTCTGTAGCTTTACAAAACGAATATGCTACAACATAAAGTGTGCTCCTGTTTTACAACTTTTTCGATGATGTTCATGTCGCGTAATTACAGTATGTCACTTCATAGCGTTCCCATGGCAACAGGGGGAAATGGCTGCTCTTGTGTGAAGCAAACACAACATTTTTCAACTTTCTGTTAAGATATATGTGACTTTTTTGCAACGAAAATGCGAGGATAATGAAATCATGCAAGCCCCGCATATTTTGCATGGAAATCGGCAATTTATGCGGCGAAAGCGCGGTGTATGTGAAAAAATGCGGCCCCCGCATGAATATGCGGACTTTGGCTGATTATGCTCTAAATCATGCGATCGTATAATCATGTTTTTCTGGAGGGACTGAATCCAACTCAATGAAATGGATCATCTCGTATTTAATTGCTTAATCAGTTGAAAGAGTGTAATGTTTGTTGCAATGTTTCCCCAGGAAAGTTATCTATCGTTCATAGTTCATTAGTAAAATAGTACAAAGAACACTGGAGAGGATAATTTTGCTAAATATTTATTTTACAGCATATGTTGAGAATGATGTTTCTTAAAGAATTAACATACATATAAAGTATTTATAAACGAAATAACATAATCAAATTGAGAACAGAATTAAATCATGAAATCCTTATCATATCCGCTCTAATGGCTTGTAAAAATGGCAAAATAACAGCTAACATACTTCATATCAACGACACTGTTACTTGCATGATGTTGCGTAATTATTTAATTAAAGGGATAGTTCACTTTGAAATACATTTTTGGTACATTTTAGCTTACCTCAAGGGCATCCAAGATGTAGGTGTCTTTGTTTCCACAGTAGTCACATATTTTTAGGTCAAACTGTTGTGGTCTATCAGTCATATAATGGAGGTCTATGGTCACCACCTCAAAGAGCATGCACAGAGAAGTCCAAACTAAACATGATTTAATGACTCGTAAATGTAAGTATACATTGATGGCCTAAGACGCAAAACGAGCGGTTTGTGTGAGAAAACGAACAGCATTTATATCGTTTTTACCTCGTGTAATCACATCCACGTCCAAGTGATCTGAAGGCACGGGCGCTTTGTGGCTGTTGTAACAAGAGGTAAAAACGATATAAATACTATTCGTCTCACGCAAACCGCTCGTTTCATGTCTTAGGCCATCAATGTGTACTTATATTTACGAGTCATTAAATCATGTTTAATTTGGACTTCTCTGTGCATGCTCTTTGAGGTGGGGACCATAGACCTGCATTATATGACTGACAGACAAGAATGGTTTGACCTAAAAATATCAAATTTGAAACTACTGCGGAAACAAAGATACCTACATCTTGGATGCCCTTGAGGTAAGCTAAAACATGCCACCAAAAATAATTTTCAGAGTGAACTATCCCTTTAACTAGTGTTCTTTTATTTTACAACTAATTTTACCTATTTAATTCATGTTGAAATCTGTTATTTTCCAAAGCACATTTAAATCAGATCTCCTGAAGAAGTTTCAGTGTGTATGTGAAGGAACAGCAAAGCAGGGAAACCCAACACTCCTGAATGAGATCTACACAGAGCTCTACATCACAGAGAGTGGAAGTGGAGAGATCAATAAGGAGCATGAGGTGAGACAGATCGAGACACAGTCCAGGAGTGCAGCAACAGAGGACACACCGATCAAATGCAGTGACATCTTTAGACCTTTACCTGGACAAGACAAACCCATCAGAACTGTGCTGACGAAGGGAGTCGCTGGCATTGGAAAAACAGTCTCTGTGCAGAAGTTCATCGTGGACTGGGCTGAAGGGAAAGAGAATCAGGACGTCCAGCTCATATTTCCACTGGCTTTCAGAGAGCTCAACTTAATGAAGGACAAAACACTCAGTCTTTCAGATATTCTTCATGTCTTTTTCCCTGAAACAAAAGAAAAGGAAATATCCACGGATGAGTATAAAGTGCTGTTCATCTTTGATGGTCTGGATGAGTGTCGCCTGTCTCTGAACTTTAAGAGTGAAGGGAAACTGTGTAGTATATCTCAATCGGCCTCAATGGACGAGCTGCTGACGAACCTCATTGAGGGGAATCTGCTTCCCTCGTCTCTCATCTGGATCACCTCCAGACCAGCAGCAGCGGATCTCGTCCCCTCTGAGTGTGTCCATCGAGTGACAGAGGTACGAGGCTTCAATGAGCCACAGAAGGGGGAATACTTTAAGAAGAGGATCAGTGATCAGAGTCTGGCCAATACAATCATCACACACCTGAAGTCCTCGAGGAGCCTCCACATCATGTGCCACATCCCAGTGTTCTGCTGGATCTCAGCCACTGTTCTAGAGAAGATGTGCAGTGAAGCAGAGAGACGAGAGATTCCCAAGACTCTCACTCAAATGTACACACACTTCCTGCTCATTCAGACCAACATCAAACATGAGAAGGACTATGAGAAGAAAGTGAAAGATAAAGACTTGATTCTTAAACTGGGGAAACTGGCTTTCCAGCAGCTTGTAAAAGGCCACCTGATCTTTTATGAAGAAGACCTGAGCGAGTGTGGCATTGATGTGGCAGAAGCATCAGTTTACTCAGGATTGTGCACTCAGATCTTCAGAGAGGAGTTGGGCTTGTATCAGGGGAAAGTATTCTGCTTTGTTCATCTGAGCATCCAAGAACATCTAGCAGCACTATATGCACACATTTACTTTACAAACAACTGCATAAATGCATATTGGAAGACATTTAATCCATTGCCTGGCCTGCATCAGACAGCTGTGGATGAGGCTTTACAGAGTAAGAATGGACATCTGGACCTTTTCCTGCGTTTCCTTCTGGGTCTCTCATTGGAGTCCAATCAGACTCTCTTACAAGAACTACTGGCACAGACTGGAAGCTGCTCCTACAACAAAGAGGAAACAGTTCAGTACATCAAACAGAAGATCGGGGAGAATCGCTCTCCTGAGAGATCCATCAATCTCTTCCACTGTCTGAATGAACTGGGTGATGATTCACTGATGCAGGAGATCCAAGATTATGTGAAATCTGGAGAAATAGGAGAAACCAAACTCTCCTCTTCACAGTGGTCAGCTCTGGTTTATGTGTTGCTGACATCAGAACACAAGATGGATGTTTTTGATCTGAAACAGTTTATCGGTTCACAAAATACAGCAGATGAAGTTCTTCAGAAGCTGCTGCCTGTGGTTAAAGAAGCCAGATCAGTTCAGTAAGTTACTCTGACAGCAATCCTTACACTGATAAAACATGATCACACACACACACACACATATCATATTTTTATATACATCATATTTATATCAGTGTTTCCTGAACTGAGAGACTGAAGAGTGCCATTGTTCTCTACAGGTTGAGGGATTGTGGTGTTACAGATGAAGGTTGTGCTGATCTGACTTCAGCTCTGAGATCAAACCCCTTACACCTGAGAAAACTGAATCTGTCAGGGAATAATGTTGGAGATTCAGGAGTGAAGCAGCTTTCTGATCTACTGAAGGATCCTCACTGTAAGCTGGAAATACTCAGGTAAGCTTGTATAAAAGTCTCAATTTCGTCTGTTTTTACTCCAGTGGTGAATAATGAATAAAATACAAAAATAATATATATAAAAAAGTTTACCAACAAGTAACTGTTAAGGATGTTTAAACTTCAATGTATTCTTTCAAACACTTCCGATGTTATTTTACTTGTGGTAGTTTATGGAAGTTAAAAAAATGACTGGATGATGTGAAGAGGTGACAACTGCTTTCATATACATATATGTTGAGGATAAATTCATATATATCATATTTATATCAGTGTTTCCTGAACTGAGAGATTGATCATTGTTCTCTACAGGTTGAGTAATTGTGGTGTGACAGATGAAGGTTGTGCTGATCTGGCTTCAGCTCTGAGATCAAACCCCTCACACCTGAGAGAACTGGATCTGTCATGGAATAATGTTGGAGATTCAGGAGTGAAGCAGCTTTCTAATCTACTGAAGGATCCCCACTGTAAACTGGAAATACTCGGGTAAGTTTGTATAAAATGTCTCATATGGTAAATAATGATTGTCTTACAAAAAAAATCTACTGTGAAATTACTAATAGGATGTTTTTGTTTTCATTAGATTCTTTCCAACGTGTCTGACATAATTTCACAATATTAATGATAGTATAAACAGGACTGGATGATGTAAAGATGTGATAACCGTGTTCATATACAGATATGCTGATGATTTCCGGGCACTTAGATAAAAAAGAATATTCGGTCACACTTTATTTTAAGGTGTCATTCTTACAGTATAATTATATATTTAAGTACCGACTAATATTAAGCAACTACATGTTCTTACTATATGGTTAGGGTAGGATTAGGATTTGGTTAAAGGGTAAATTACATAATTATGCATAATTTACTGTTATTACTATGGAGGGTAGATGTAACATATGTAACAAGGACATTGTGAAATAAAGTGTATTGAATATTCTTGCAATTTTTATGGAAACTAACCCCCTCAAGCAGTTTGTAGAAGCGGGTCTGAACCTTAGACTGGAACTGTTAATGGTGTTGTGGATTAATTGTCTGATTGTGAAGTTCCTGCTAATCTGAGCTCTAGATCCTGAACTGAGAGACTGAAAAGTGTCATTGTTCTCTACAGGTTGAGTAAGTGTGGTGTTACAGATGAAGGTTGTGCTGATCTGTCTTCAGCTCTGATATCAAACCCCTCACACCTGAGAAAACTGGATCTGACTGTGAATAAACTATGTTCCTCAGGAGTGAAGCTGCTCTTAAATCTGAGAAAACATCCACATTATAAACTGGAGACGCTTGAGTGAGTAGTGATGATTAAAACGGTTCATATTTTAATTGAATTGAAAGTTGATTTTGTTTCTGCTTAGTTTACTTTCCTTGTGATGATTAATTACACACTATAAGCATGTTTAATAAGAGTTTGATTCATTAATTTTTTATAATAGTTAGCAACAGTTAACTATCTACAAGTTACTTTTTATTTAAAAATGTAAATATTTAGCTTTTATCACAGTCTTTTTATCCCTAAATGATGTATTTTGAGAGAATGCCAATTGCAATAGAAGAGATTGCAAATATTTATCTTTACTTTCTTTATCATTAATAAAACTGACCCAGTGATTTAGAAATACGACAGTCACACAGGATTATAGATAAGGGTCAAGGGTCATCATTCATGGTAATTTAGGTGCCAAATCAAAATCTGAATGTTTAAAAACAGCTTCAACAATCATGTATCACAGTGTTATATTATAATCTTTCACTTAATCATTTAAGTAGTTTCTTTTAGTTGTTCTAAACTGGATAATACAATAATGTCAAACATTTGACCTTTGTTTCTTGCTTACAGGTTTTAGATGTTAGTCTGGCCTTCTCTGGATCAGCTGATGGAGAATAAAGAGCCACTACACACACAATCACATTCTACAGAATCAACAGACACAAACCCACAGTGATAATCACACACACGTGTTTGTGTAACTTTACAGAATGATCCAATCCTTCATCCAAAGTCAAACAAGGAAACCTTCATTCAGGTGTAACTGGATAAATATTCTCAATGTTCAGATCCAATCTGACTTTTAACCTGTAATGCCTGAATCATAATTAAACACAGTTTGTTTGTTGGTCAGAGGAGAACGAAGTGACTGAGTCTGGTTCCTGCCAAGGTTTTCTCCATTCTGTCACTGATGGAGTTTGAGTTACTGTCACTTTCGCTTCTGGCTTGCTTAGTTGGAGACACTTAATATTCAACAATATTATTGATCTGCCGCTTTGACAACATTATATGAGAACTGAGCTGAGCTGGACGATGACATCACAGTTTTCTCAAGAGCGGCTGTATAGATAAATAAACTAAATTAATATCTTTTTACAACAGAAATTAGTCATCAATGAATTTATTTAATCTGGACAATGACATTATTTTCTTGTAAATCTGCTGTATGGCCAAAACAAACTTTGTTGTATTATTTAGCTTATTTCATTGGTGGGGGTTGAGGAGATCCCCCATATGTAAATTTCTATGTAAAATGCTTTGAGTTCCAAATAAACTGCTATATAAATGTAATGAATTATTATTATTATTTGCCTGTTATCACTGTGAAGCTGTTTTGAAACAATCTGTATTCTAAAGAGCGCTATATAAATAAAGGTGACTTGACTTTTGTTTCAATAGGAAGTGACATTTATTTTGGCAAATGTTCTACTAAAAACATATCCATATATAAAATTAATTTAATTACTTAATTTGAGTAATACAGCAGTCCACACATATTAGAAATGTCTTTGATTATAGGCTATTAGTTATAAGTTAATCATCTACTGCACTGATTCTCAAAGTGAGGTACAGGCTCCCTGTAGTGGTACACAGAGGAGTCACTGAATTTCACAGTACGATCACATTGATTATTCACAGAGGCCCTCATTTATCATTCTTGCGTACAAATGGGTGTATAATTGGCGACTTGTTATTTAGAAGAAGAATGTCATTATTATTTGTATTATTATTATTATTATTATTATTATTATCATTTAAAAGAAGAAGAATATATTTTTTATTATTTTATCAGTCTGAATTATTTTTTGGTCATTTGTCTCTTCATTACCGAACCCAGTCCGTGCGCACCTGGCGGGGATAATCCTGAAATGTCAGGGTAAAGCACACAGGCTCACAACTGAAGGAATACATATGCTTAAAAATCAAATGCTTTGGTAAAGTCACACAAATTAAACATTGAAATCCATGTTGCACAAAAATAAACACTAAAAGTTATAATTACTAAGTCATAATACATCATATCTTTTAGTTTGTCGGTCCGTTTTGTGGTGTTAGGATGTTTTCTGCGCATTTCCGCACTAACTCAAAACGTGCGTACACCACCTCCTGAGCTGGTGTAAGATTTGAGCATGCCGTACGCCAACGTCCATATTGATAAATCTCAAAGTCTCCGTGGTTTTTGGTGTACACCAGGTGTACGCTGGAAATTTGGTGTACGCACTTTTGATAAATGAGGGCCAGTGTGCGCACCTTTAAGCAAACTTTGAGCTGTGCGTACGTACATTCTGGAGACAAAGGGAATTGGCGACACCGATGGTGAGCTGGAGTTAAATGTCTTTTTGGTCACTTTTAGACCGAAAATCTGAAGAAAATTATAGCCTATAGGCTACAGACTGAGAGATAATAGCCTACAGCCGGGAACTACACTGCGACCAAAATGGTCGCATATGCGACCTTTTGAAATCCCATTGCGACCCTAATTTTTAATGGGTCGCAAATGTATCACGGACTATTTTGACGGGTCTGTTTTTTTTTAGTTTCTTTCGGGTTGTATTTAATCTTCTAAAACCTGTCGGATCGTCCGCTTTTTGTCCCGCCAAAGCCTTTTTTGATCGCGGTGAGTGTTGTGGAGTAGAATGACTGATGCGTTTGACAGGGCGCAAACGAGCTGAGAGAGAGAGAGAGAGCGCCCTGGCCGCGCGCGCACTATTACGTCTTCACACAACACAAGCGCTGTCTTGCTCTCTCTCTCTATCGCGCGCATATTATTCAAATGACATGATAGTTAAAGGTTTGTGTCTTTATAATGGGCATGCTAACCATAATCATAGGCTACCATCTGAGCCTGCATGGCGGCAGGAAAAAGACGCAGAGATGTAAGACACCGTGTCTCTTCCTTACACCAAAGGTAGATTTGCGGTCTGGTGTTCGGCTGATAAACTCTGCCATGAGCTAACTAATTATATTGCTAGCGCTGATATTGACATCGACTAACGTTATATGATCACTAGCAGTTTTTTAGACTAACGTTAGTTTTTTCATAATCATAATCGCGTGATTCGCGTCAAGACACCTGATTGGCTAATACTACACACTGAAGATAAATTAAATGTTTTATTAAATAATTACTGAAAATATCCCTCTCTTCATCCCACACCCCAAACATGACATACAAAATGTTGTGGAACAGAAACAACCAGAGATATATTTATAAGCTATCATTTTATTGTCATCACAGCTTTCCAACAGTCCTGCGTATGATTCTACATTGATTAAAAAAGAAAATCAAATGTGTTTTAATGGTAATTATTTTATACGGAAATCATGTATTTATAATTCAGATGAGAATAAAGTTAGGGTTAGTTAAAATTAAGGAAAAAATATATATTGATCTGAAATATTGCAAATTAATTTTACATTCATTCAAGTACAATTACCAAACATATATCAAGGTCATTTTGTTTTTTTATTAATTTAATTAATAAACTAATTATATAAAACTATTGTCAGTGCACTACAAATAAACTGGTTCTATGCCTTTATTAATAAAACTTAAACAACTTAAAAAAATACGAGGCTTAAGACATTTATAAAAATGCCATTTTTGTTTTGCTTTTCACTCCATTGTACCGAAATCGTACCGAACCGTCTGAATGTCTGAACCAAGGTATGAACCCAACCCAACCGTGACTTCTGTACCGTTCCACCCCTAATGCAGTTTCATTATTATTCATTACTATCCAGAGTGCGGCTTACTATAAATAATTTGTGCGACCAAATCATGTTTTGCGCCAGTAACTGAAAAAGTTAGTAGCGCAAGTGCCACCAGTGGAAAAGGTTAGTGTAGTCCCCTGTACAGATATAATTTCACTCACCAAGCCTATCACTTGAAGCCAATATCCATCCCTTTGTGTTTTTAATACAAAAAAAAAGTCAACCTTCAAATAATTATGTTCAGTTATGCACTCAATATTTGGTCGGGAATCCTTTTGCAGAAATGACTGCTTTAATGTGGCGTGGCATGGAGGCGATCAGCCTGTGGCAGTGCTGAGGTGTTATGGAGGCCCAGGATGCTTCAATAGCGGCTTTAAGCTCATCCAGAGTGTTGGGTCTTGAGTCTTTCAACTTTCTCTTCACCATATCCCACAGATTCTCTATGGGGTTCAGGTCCAGAGAGTTGGCAGGCCAGTTGAGCACAGTAATACCATGGTCAGTAAACCATTTACCAATGGTTTTGGCACTGTGAGCAGGTGCCAGGTCGTGCTGAAAAATGAAATCTTCATCTCCATAAAGCTTTTCAGCAGATGGAAGCATGAAGTGCTCAAAAATCTCCTGATAGCTAGCTGCATTGACCCTGCCCTTGATAAAACACAGTGGACCAACACCAGCACCCTAGACCATCACTGACTCTGGGTACTTGACTTCAGGCATTTTGGCATTTCCTTCTCCCCAGTCTTCCTCCAGACCCTGGCACCTTGATTTCCGAATGACATGCAACCACTGAGCAACAGTCCAATTTGCCCAGTGGCCTCTGTCCATCATGGCCTACTAATCATCCCCATATATACCAATTGGCTTCATCACTGTCTCCTCTCCATCAGTAAGCTGGTGTGTGGTGAGCGTTCTGGCGCACTATGGCAGCCGTCGCATCATCCAGGTGGAGCTGCACACTGGTGGTGATTGAGGAGATTCCCCTCTCTATGTAAAGCGCTTTGAGTGCCGAGAAAAGCGCTATATAAATGTAATGAATTATTATTTAATTATTATTACTCCAGACTCAGACCACTGCTTCCGCAGGTCCCCCAATGTCTGGAATCAGTCCTTCTCCACAATCTTCCTCAGGGTCTGGTCACCTATTCTCGTTGTGCAGCGTTTTTTTGCCACACTTTTTCCTTTTCCCACTGAGGTGCCTTGATACAGCACTCTAGGAACAGCCTTTTTGTTCAGAAATTTTTTTCTGTGTCTTACCCTCTTGCTTGAGGGTGATGGCCTTCTGGACAGCAGTCAGGTCGGCAGTCTTACCCATGATTGCGGTTTTGAGTAATGAAACAGGCTGGGAGTTTTTAAAAGCCTCAGTAATCTTTTGCAGGTGTTTAGAGTTAATTAGTTGATTCAGATGATTAGGTTAATAGCTCGTTTAGAGAGCCTTTTCATGATATGCTAATTTTTTGAGATAGGAATTTTGGGTTTTCATGAGCTGTATGCCAAAATCATCAGTATTAAAACAATAAAAGACCTGAAATATTTCAGTTGGTGTGCAATGAATCTAAAATATATGAAAGTTTAATTTTTATCATTACATTATGGAAAATAATGAACTTTATCACAATATGCTATGAAGGAAAACCATAAATCTTCATGAGTCCTAATAAATACAGTGCATGCTCTCAATAACAGTTTAAATAAATTAAAGAAAGATTTAAACTATGTTTTACTTCTGATATAGATTAAATATGCCATTCTCATACCGGAGTTAAACACTTAAAATACATGAAATCATTACTGAGATGTTGCAATATATATATATATATATATATATATATATATATATATATATATATATATATTATATATTATATATATATATATATATATATATTCAATAAATAGAAATATATATTTGTTGTGAATGCAATGCTTTTGAACACTTTCCCTCTAGCATGCTGTGTTTTAATGTTTTAACTAGAGATAATTGCTAATGACGATAATAGCAGATTGTCTGAGAAAATAGTTCATGCAAATAATGCCCAACTATGTCTATCTGCTTCCATTAAAAATATAAATTAATTAAAAATACTATTTGGCCAGTGGAAAAGATTGAGAAAATCTTTCTCTGAAATGTATTTGACACTATTTGATTTATTCATTCAAAAACAAGGCAAGGATATAGGCTACTAAAAAAAAAAATTATAATTTATTATGACACGGCACATCTGTATTTCATATTTTACTAATGTCTTGTACGTTAACATGGTCTCACGTGGATGAATAATCACATGCAAATGATATGCAGGTAAGGATATGCATATTTAAACTAGGCGTTATAAGCTCCATATATGGTTATTTCGGGGAGGAGACGCACTTGGCACAATCTTCGGCTGACTGGGATTTATAAAGGGAATTTCTGGCGTACGCACGGTTTTATAAATCTGAATATTTTTTGGCGTACGCCATTTTTGGCTTTCGGGCGCACGTACACTTTTAGTAAGGATCCTACGCACAGTTTTATAAATGAGACCCCTGAACTTCGAGATCGCAATAGACGTGAAGGACTATAATGCGTTAAGAGCTCGCTCAAGTACTGCAGAGCTAAAACATTTAGTGCTTTGTACGTAATCAACAATATTTTAAAATGTATGTCCCTTTGCTCACAGCTGATTGGTCCAAGTTCGGTTTGCAACCTCTTACCTGGAACATAACCTGCCCCGGACCAGGGGCCTATACCACAAAGCCAGTTTAGGTGGCTAGCCAGCTATGTTTCAGTTTAGTTTGTGTCAACCCTGGGTTTTAGGTACCATGTAAGTGGTTTGGCTTTTAGCAGCGTTCATCGCCATAGTAACTTACACTCCACGGCTAACCTGGTCCGGGGCAGGCTATGTTCCAGGTGAGAGGTTGCAAACCGAACTTGGACCAATCAGCTGTGAGCAAAGGGACACATGTCTGACGTGATAAAGACACTTTTTTAACCTTCCACATTAAAGGTCACTACATAGCAAATGATTTTTAAAGATACAACATCTTCTGGCTTTTAGCAATGCTTATTAAGGATAATAAATTTGTATGATTTAGATTTTTTTTTACTGTAATTATTCTACCCTTAAATGATCTCACATGTACAGTATAATTTCAGTTCATCAATTATTATTACGCAGATTTTTAATGAATAAGTATATAAAGATAATACAAATACGCTTTAGAATCAATACATGAAGCTATAAAATGACTACATGTGAGCCTAAATTCTCTCTATACTATATTCTCTTATCAACTTTATAAACTAACTTCATAACTTTTAAAGCAAGACCTTTTCTTTTAGTTGTCCTCTTTCATAGACCGCTATTTTCTTCTTGCCGTGTAAATTTGTTTAAAGTCCCTGTAAAGTCAAAATTAAGTATGTGTTCTGAGTTTGTCATACCACAGAAAAATGTGATATTAGCCACCCAGCCAAATTTGAATGATAAAAAAAGCCGGCAAGTACATAAAATAAGCTATCAAAATCATGAAAAAATCAGCAGTTATCTCTGTTCTCAAACGCTGGGGGCGTGTCCGCTGGCTGCGCTGAAACCACGCCCACTCGCGGGAAAGCTGTTGACGGTGATATTAGCTGATACTGCTTTCGGGACGGGAGAATGAATGCTGAGGCGGGAGATAGTCGTTTCGGCCCCGTTCACCAGCAGCATCGGATAATCAGTGAATCCCAGTTGTCTCTGAGGAAAGTTTATAAAACGATCCTGTGTAAAATGATCACTACAGAGGCGGGTGTTGCTGTCGGTGATTCTCAGTTCTTCATCAAGGTTGGCTCTACACAAAATTAATCCACCTCTTCTTGATGTGATCGCCTTTTAGGAAATTTAAATAAAGACACCGATCTGTTTTGTACATGATCGCATCCAGGTAGTAGCCTATGCATTTCCTTGTCAAAGGCATAGCAAGCTAGCAAACTGTAGTAACTAATAGTACTGACGGTAACTTGCGATTGAGCGGCGAATGCAAATGTGCTCTATTGTTAGAGGAGAGATCCGCCCCTGTCTATGGATCAGCCAACGTGCGTCATCAAGTTGAGGCGTGTCCACGAGCTCTTGGGTTCCAGTGCGTCATCGAGCCCTGTTTTAGCTCCGCCCAAACAATCCGTAAAATTGCAATGGTGAAAAACTGTTTAATGGTCTAACTCTGTATTTCAGAACTTCACAGTTCAGTCTTTGTAATATGTTTTAGCAATACATATGTAACATTTATAATGTGTTTAGAATTTTTTTGGTGAATTACCTTTACAGGGACTTTAAATTCTTAATATTTTAATACTTTTATTTAACAAGTAAATTGTGTTGCTTCTCTCGTGAGAAATTAAGAGTTTCACTCTTTCTCAGCATGTGATTGGCTGTTCGCTACTGATGTCACACCTAAACTCCTTAACTCAGGATCAAAGCCTGAGTTGACAGAGAAAGCATCATGTTACCAACAAAACCTGGTTGGATTGGTTTGGTTTTGTCAACTCAAAACTAATCCTGCAACCCTGAGTTCGTTCTACTACCATCATGGTACAGGCCCCTGTACTGTTAGATGTACTAAATTAAAGTAAACCATTACAAAATAAATATTTCATTTATTTATTATAAATTTACATCAAGTTGTATTTGTGTTTATACATTTTTTTTTAATAAAATGTAATGATTTATTTATTTCTATCTATTTATATTTATTTTTATCTTAGCATTCCTTTACACCGTTTTCCCCCAGAGTTTCCCCGGAGCCCCAGCACTCTCTTGTGGCCCCTGAGGGCCCTTAGTTTGTAACCCCTGCTCAAGAGGAGACACAAATTCTGCTGAAAGATTTCTGTTTTAAACTCAGTGCTGCTGTGAAGAAACAGATGTCAGAGAGATCTGGTGTGATTTCTCTCTGCCTCGTGTGTGTGTGTGTGTGTGTGTTTGTGCTTGTGGAGTTTAGAGGTGATGCCTCAGGTTAGTTTGTGTTCTTGCAGACACACTTTCAATGCTCTGAACGATACGAAACATCTCTCAAGAATCTGAAACTCAGCATTTAAGTGTGCGAGAGAGACAGAAAGCAGAAGTGACATATCTCCTCCGATCACACAGTTTCCTCTCACAGTTACACAGCGGAAGACGCCACTTCCTCACACAGACACGACACACACACACTCCTCCGACTGCCCGACGCAGGTAAACACACACTGCATGTCTGCGTCCCTCCGTCCTCTGGTGCGGGATGGAGGCGTTCAGCTCCAAGGACATGGCCATGAAGGCCCAGAAGAAGATCCTCAGTCACATGGCCAGCAAGTCCATGGCTCACATGTTCATCGACGACAACAGCAGTGAGGTTCTGGACGAGCTGTACCGCGTCTCCAAAGAGCACTCGGGGAACCGCGCCGAGGCCCAGAAGGTGGTGAAGAACATGATCAAGATCGCCGTGAAGGTGGGAGTCCTGTTCCGACACGAGAAGTTCAGCGCGGATGAGCTGAGTCTGGCGCAGGACTTCAGGAAGAAGCTGCATCACGGAGCCATGACGGCCATCAGCTTCCAGGAGGTGCAGCATACACATATTCATAATGTTTGCGTGATTATCCGAGAATTATGGTCCATTAGTGCTCTTAAGTCGAGCCTCACTACTGCTAGTGAACCGCTTAAAATTCTGCGTGCGTCGTCATTCGTCATTTCACACCAGACAGGAAGCGACTGCTTAGAACACCCTAGCAACCACACAGAACACCCTAGCAACTCTTTAATGCAGGATGCATTCTGATTTGTTGTCCATTCATCTCAGAGTTAGAATGTTTCGGAGTAAACGGGCCTTTAAGAATGAAGCATCTTATTTTGCATTGTTTTCAAATTGAAATATGTGGAGAAATGTACAAACAAAGTGAAAAATTTGCCTCTAATCTAGTGTTCTGTTCAACTGTAACAATAAAGATACCGTTTCACATACATAGCAGAGATCACGTCATGATAACCCCACAGAGTAATCACTTTCAGAGTGATTTTATTCCAAGATGAACGATAAAAACACTGACAGCCAATCAGAATCCGACAGACTTTAACGAGCTTGAGTATTTAAAGAGACAGGAGCGCAAGCTTATAATAAACAATAACGTGTTTTGATGTGCGTGCTAATATTGTACTTGATGTGAATGATTTGCAATTAATTTTAACATATTTATTTATTCAATTTTAACATATTGAACACAATTAATGCAGCATTGTTTGGCTCACATTGCATTATATATGTTTTGGTCGATCGGATTACAAGTAGATGACGTTAAATAGAGCTGTAAACGGGTATAAACGCTGCGTCCACTTCCAGAGGTTGTGGGAAACGCATTGCTTCGTGTTGTAAACACTCATGTGGACGAATGCGTTCGAACAGCCACTAAACACTGTCTTCTGACCTGATTTTGGGAAGCATGCTAGCAAGATTGGATATTAATTTGTCCCCTTGAGACCCAAGTTTGGTTTGAAGATGAAAAACGTATCAAGCACAATGTTCTCACCGTTCCTGATGTCCAGTGTTCGAATTACACCATGAGCTTCGGGATACAGCTATCTCGACTGGTGACGTCACTCTCCATTTGGGGGTTAATTTTTCTTCCTCTAATATATTTGCATTTCAAGGCTAAAAAAAAGAATGAAAAATGCTTTAAACCCAACACCTGCTCTCTCCATCACCCTTACTTTCTCTCAGTCTCCTCATCTTGCCCAGTCTCTTCCCTCCTAATGCTGAGATTTTTTTAATTTACTGAAGGCCAAAAATGGTATATTATTTTTTATTTATTTATATAGCACACATAATACAACAGACGTTGCCCACGGTGCTTCACATACAGGAAAAATAAAACAATTTACCTACAGTAACATAAAGTTACATACATAATTCTCAATATGTACAAATTAATTATTAATCTCGTGCCTAACATGATGAAAACAGCGTCAGGCTCGTTACATAGGCCTCAGTTCAAAATGGCGAAATTAGACTAAAGTTTATAAGTTTGCCTGATTATTTTTGTCATTCGTTTAACATTTACGACCTAAGAAACTGTCAAATATGAAATGTTTAGTTTAGCTACTTACCTTAATTCGCTTTTTGACCGTAAACTAAACTGAAGCGTCGAGTCTCTGCTGAAATTCGCGCGCTCACCGTCTGTGTGTGAACATAAAGCCCGCCTCCTTTGATTTGATTGGTCATCTCAAATATTTTGACATTGACGAGCAGTGACAAGACCAATGAGGCTGAATTTGATTATAACACGACTGAAGTGAACACGAATTTGTTTAGCTTACACAAATACTATTGCATTTTCTTTCAGTGTCCCCCAAACTATTATTTTCATCCTCTTTAGAAGGGTCCAATGCTTGAACAGAAGCACAAAATTATGTAGAAATGCCCATTATTGTCGAGTTTTCTCGCAAGCACATTTTTAAACTAGAGTCGTGAAAACATCAGATCTGGATCCGCGTCATGTGCGTCGGGTCTTAAAGTGACAGTGTTCTAATAAACCTGCTGTCTGTTATTAATGTTAATCAAACATACTACAAATCTTTGTTGTTTTTTACATTTCAGTGTGAAACAATACAATAACATTTTTTATGTTTGGTGAATTTAATCATGATTAACTATTTCCCCTGGCAGCATTTTTTTTTTTTAAAGTTGTTATTTTAACAAAAAATATTCTAGCTTCATGCATTCTTCAATCAACACTATGTGGGTATGTTTCATAAAAAAGCAACATTTTAAGCAAAAAGCATCCAGATCAATGATCAAACAGATGGAGTCGCTGGAGTCCATCAACACCTCAAAGCTTCAGTCGTTTCCTCTTCATGGGTTCAACATTTCACTCAGTAACATTTTGATTAATATGTTGTTTAATGTTTGATGATCACGTTATAATGTACATGTGCGTCAGCAATGCTTCTATCGCTCGTTTCTGCTTTTTCTTCGCCTGTGTTCTGATCAGGAGATTCTGAACTCTTTCGGGAGATGCGTAATAGCGCCCCCTACAGTATAACAGTGGAAACACGGAAAGCCGGGGAAAGAGTTAATGACTGAAAAATGTGCGATTACTGTATTTAATGGACTGAAAGCACTAGTCAAACCATGAGTGTGTGCGTCTGTCTCCGTCAGGTGGAGTTCACGTTCGATAAGAGCGTCATGATGGAGCTGCTGACGGACTGTCGGGATTTAATGCTGAAGCTGGTGGAGAAACACTTGACGCCCAAGTCTCTGGACCGCATCCGTCACGTGTTCAACCATTACGCGGACCCGGACCTGCTCACACACCTGTACGACCCGCAGGGGACGCTGTGGAGCAACCTGGGCAAGATCTGCAGCGGCCTGAACCGCATGATCGAGGAGGGGAAGCTCTGAGCGCTGGGCGGAGACACGCTCGCGTCTGATTGGCTGATCCGCATTATCACGGGGCAAAGGAAGATTTAAAGGGACAGTACGCACATAAATGACTTTCTTCTGTGGAACGCTAAAGAACGCTTTAGTTTGGATCCCAACTTTTGTGTTTCACAGAAGACATACAGATCTTTTTAAGAATTAAAAAAAAAATCACTTTTTTAATACAAGTTTTGTTCCTGCATTTTAACATGACTTCCGTCCATCGATGTTTGCAACTAAAACCAAAGAGAAATTGAGCAACACTGGATTTGTGTACAGTTGTATGTACTAGTGAAATAATCCACTTCTGTTTCTCTTTTCATGTTGCACTGTATTTTCTTCAACCACAACAGTATTAGTTAAACGCTGAGTGGATCCGATTGAAGTTTAATAATAAAGTGTTGTTTTATTTAGTTTCAAATCTTCTTCTTTTGAAAGCTTGTTAATGCTGAGATCTTTTTTATGAGCTGTTCTGTTCCTCCTGTACTTTAACTTCTGCTTAAGGAGATGTCTGAAGTCCAGCAGATCTGACTGTGGTTTCAGTTTCAGAAACACTGGCCACTATTCAACAATACTCTGTAACCACACCGTATGATAGTTTAAGAATCACAAACATTAAGAATGCACTATTTGCGGGTTTGTTTTCTGATGTAGATTACATTTACAGAAGGGCTAGTGCACTAGTGTCAACAATGTTTGCAACCCATTTCACTTGTGTGTTTGTACAAGAAAAATGCCAAACAAGACCTATCACACAATTGTCATATTTGAAATTTAAAAAAATATAAAAATTTGTTAACACTTGTTTAGGGACCAATTCTCACTATAACTCGCTGCTCATCATCATGCATATTACTAGGATGTCGGCAATTTATTAGCACTTATTAATGCCTTATTCTGCATGATCATATTCTCCATCCCATAATCTAAACATAACTACCTTACTAACTGTTCATAAGCAGTCATTAGGAGTTTGCTGATGCAAAAGTCATAGTTAATAGCGAGAAGTGAACCATAATCTAAAGTGACCCAAAAAATCTTTATCAGCTCTTCTCTGAGAAGGAAAACTAATGATATTACGACTTGAAGAAACGACACGGGTTTGTGCTTAAAACAACAGAAATGTGCCAGCGAGGTCAGAAATATCTAATTAGTTAATTTTTCTGACTCCATTGGCAGATTTCTATTTCATTCTTAATGCACAAACAGAACATTTTGATGCATTTTCAACAAGACTTAATATCTGTAAAGAAAGTAAATAGTGTTAAAGAATCTTTTTTTTCGGATGTTTAGATATTTGTTCTGGAAAACAATACAAAAGTAAAAAAAAAAATTTAAAATAAGATTTATTTTTTAGCAGTGCATATTTACAGATCACAAAATAAATAGAGGTAAACACTATTCATTTCTCTGCTTTTATTGCATTTTTTTAAACACCTAGAAAAATACAAAAAACAAGAACTCAGAAAGTAAGAGCAGTGCGAGCCGGTGCCGGTGACAGTCCTCAGATCGTGAACCGAGCGAATCACTCGAGCAGCGAATCTTTGCAGCGCTGGATGCGATTCAGCGGAAGTCTCTAGCACTCGTCACGAGTGCGGAGAATCGAGCTCAGAGTCAGAGCACCGAACCACTAGGTGGCGGCGACGGGCTGTTTGGCGACGGCTTTGGGTCGTCCGCTCTTGCTCGCCGCCGCGGGGGAATCGCTGACGTCACTGGATCCGCCGAAGCTCCCGGAGGTGTTGGGAAAGCCGTGCGCCGCTATGTACTTCTGGTACGCCTCGCGGACGATGCGGAAGGCTCTGGCGTTGGCGTACGGGATGTCGGTCACGGGGTCGCGATACAGCGCGGGATTATGGGTAACGGGACACACCTCCTGAACGGGCTGCGACGGGATGGAGCGAGCCGACTCGGGGAAGGCAGAGCTAAACGCATCGTCGTCGCTGAAGGTGATGTAAGTGCGCGAGCACAGAGACCCCGCCGCCTGCGTGGAGGAAGATGAAGTGGGCGTGGCCTGAGGCGTGTCCTGGTCCAGCCTATCACAGGAGAGAGTCTTATCAGACGCAGTGCCGTTAAAGACAGTTCTAATGTTGTGTAAATAAAACTATGCATTTATTAAAAAACATTGTTTATTCACATGAAGCTGATATGAAATAGAAATATTAGACTGAAATAAATCTATTTAGATATTTATAAACAAATTAAAATAACAAAAAGCACATCCAATTACTGTAAAAATGAAAATATAAAAATAACAGTTAATTCAAAATATTTATAAAAGCTTTGATATATTAATAATCCTAATCCTAACTGATGCAGTATTTTGCAAAGCGAGTGTTTTTAATCGTTAATTTAGCTTACTTGTTTATTTAGCTACTCATTTATTTAATACTTTATTTATAAATATATATATATATATATATATATATATATATATGAAGAGTTCAGATGCAAAAGCCTCTAAGTGCCATTTAAAAAATTTTCTTCTAGAATAATCATTTTTATCAAGCTTGTATATTTAAGTTCAGTAATTTCACTTAAATGACAATTAATAGGTAATCTTCATTGCAATTTAAGTGAAATCACTGAACTTAAATTATTATTCGCCGCAATTAATCTTTGCACAACCCTAATATATATATATATATATATATTAGGGTTGTGCAAAGATTAATTGCGATTAATCGCATCCAAAATAAAACTTTGCGTTTCCATAATATATGTGTGTGGGTGCTTTGTATAATTATTTTGTATATATAAATATACATATGCATGCACATATTTATTTAAGAATTATTTGCACGTAAATACTGTACATATAAATACATAATCTATATTATATATAAATATTTTATATATGAACACATTTTCTTAAATATATACATGCATGTGTGTGTATATATATTCAAAATAATTTTACACAGCTGATGCTGATCATCTTCTAAACATTGTCTATCGCGCTGAAAGATTGTCTAATCTTTTCTTCCTTCTCTCCCTCCATCCATTTATCCATCAATCCACCATCTCTCTCTCTCTCTCTCTCTCTCTCTATCTCTCTCTCTCTCTCTATGTTAAACTACTTGCAAATCCAGTACATTAGTTTACACCAAAACACATCTAGCTCTAATCTCCAGGTCCCGTGTGTGTGTGTGTGTGTTTACCCCTCCACATCCACGTTCTCCTCCTTCAGGTGTGTGTCGGGCGTCAGCGGCATCAGCAGCGAGTGATAGCGGATCGTCGGCCCCTCGAACCGCCTCTTCTTATGAACCTGCTTCTTCTTATCAGCCTCCAGCCGCTCGTAGTTCTCTGAGGAGCACACACACACACACACACACACACACACAGTTATACTCCGCTCTGAGCAGGTGTGATACTCTGGTGAAGTGTGTGTGTGTGTGTGTGTTACCCAGCGAGCGCAGGTTGATCTCCGCGGTGAGCTTAGCCTCTGCTAGCAGCTCGTCCTGCGTCAGCACGCGATCGCTCGCCCCCTTCCTCTTCCGCGGCGCCTCCTGCTGCCGCTCCTGCAGCCGCTCGTTCGTCTTGCGTGTGTGTTCGCTCGTCGACTTGCGCACCGACTTACGCACTGGAACACAGCGGCACCGGAAGAGCGTTACATGCTAGTCTCAGAAACTACAACTCATCAGTCAGGGTCAGACGACCGGCGGCCAGCCCATAATAATCACTGCAGCAATGAGCCAATCACAGAGCCTTTAGCATTTGCATATTTAAATCCAAAGAGACTCTTCCGGTCAGTGTTTTACTCACTCTCCCCGAAGTCCTGCAGCTCCTGGATGATGCGTCTCTCCACTTTGGGTCGTTCAGTCTTTAGTTCTTCAGTCACTCGCTTGACTTTGGGCTTCGAGACCTTTAAAGGCTCCTGAAACACACACACACACACACACACACACTAGTGAGCAGACGTGTCGATTCCTCTGAGAATCTCAATATGAGTTTAAAGCGTTCATGCCAGACATCTGAACACGTGTGTTACGAGGCAGCTCTTAAAGGGACAGCACTAATATTCCTGCCGTCTCTATAATAACACTGATCAACAGAGAAAACTCACTCGTTCTCGACTGAATAACTTTTGTTACTATATTTGTAATATATTTCATTAATAAACTGCTGTTATTTTACATTTGATTACAATTTCTTTTCCTGGAAATCTTAAATCACGTTTTATTTCAATCGTATCTTTGTTCAGTTGTGTCTATTTGCTGTGATTTCTAATGTTTTATTTGTTCTTTTTTAATTCCTGAGTGTTTATTGTCTTTAATAACGCTTGAAGTGTGTGTTAGTTCGGCTAGTTGTGTGTAAGTGTTCTTCAGCTGATGATCTGCTCATGATATTCAGACACTCTCACATGTTCTGCAACAAGACTAAATGTGAATGATGTCAAAGATTGTTTTTTAAACTTATTGGAATTGAAATTATGAATCAATAAGACTCAAATAATACCCAACCATACTGACACCTGTGATCTGAGGATGTGTGTGTATGTGTGATGATGTCTGACCTTGTAGGCTTTAGTGACGACTCGGCTCTTCCGGCGTGGAGCGTCGTCCTCCTGGTCGCTGTCGGGTTCGTCTCCTTCATCGATGTCGAAATCACTGTCCACCTCGTCCTCAGTGTCGGAGTGATCCCCCCTGTACTCATCGTCCCCCGACTCCTGCTCCACACACACACACAGACATGTCATGGTTATTGTGCATTTTTAAGGAAAGAATATATGTACACACACTCAAATTAGGTATGTGGACATATCAATAAATAACGGCCACCATTGTGTTCCAAATCTCTGTGCCGGATTTTGCCGAATCACTCTGAGCGGGTCTCCTAAAATGCGCTGTTTTCATTGACTCGCTGTGGGAATCCTTGATTATTTTTAGCCAATCACATCATTAGGGTTTTCGACTGCACATTTGTTTTCAATTTTTTCTAGTCAGGCTGCATTTTCCTCCTGAAAGGCGATTTCAAACAATACGGAAGAATTCAACTGTCAAGAAATTATTTTTACCCACTTTGGACACTTTTCAGAGTAAGGTAGACATGAAGAATATATGTTTGTGGTGTGCTGTACAAAATTTCGTGGCCGTTTAAACTCCGCCACTTTTTGTATGACTACCGCCACTGAACGTTACCTGTAGAAAAGCTGTCAAAATGCAGCGCGTCGTGTCGGCTACACTCAACATTTGTGTGGTCTCCTCCACCAGCGTTAGTATTATTAACTCTATATTCTTACACAACTGGAAATAGCATGAATCAACCAAAATACATCTTTTAAATTTAGGATATATAATTTTCCTTGGATCGTTGTTTTCCATTCAATTATTTGTATTTTCAACAACTGTTCATCAGAAAAATACCATAAAAGATAGGCCAAATCAGTCTTTATGTGTGTTAAAATCAAGTATAGATCCAAATAACTATTTGAAACCCATCTCCACAGAAAATTTCATTAAGATATCTTGAATATTGAGAACGTTATGAGCATTTTTGTGAAAAAACAACTTGTTTTCGGTCACACTAAATTTTATTCTTTTCGCCTTAGAAATGAGACGATAATAGGCGCTGATTACTGAACTATAAAATGTTGTAACTTTCTTCATACTTGACATATTTACCTTCTTTTTTTTGTACCCAGGTCTTTCCACATATGCTATCCATTTGTCTATTTGTTGAGTTTTAATTTTTTGTCCACATACCTACTCAAATGTACATATTCCACACACACACTCACAAATATAAACACTCTCTCACACACACATATTTATTTTGAAAGAATATGTACACAAACATACTCAGAGAAATATACACACTCACATATACACACACTCTTACACTCACTCACTCACACACACACACACACTCCCTCACTCTTTCTCTCTCACATACACACTGGTGTAGTGTATAACGCGACTCACGTCGTTGAATCCCCCATAGGTGGTCTTGTAGAACTCGTCCTCCTCCTCGGCGTCCAGGAGTTTGGACATGCGGTTCCCCGCGGTGCAGCGCTGCTCTCGGCTGTGTGCTAAACTCATCCTGCACCCCTGATGATGACCTCTATTATAGTCACGACTGTGTTCTCTTCAACTCTACAACAAGACTCCCTGTTAGTTATATCCTCTCTTTAACCCTCAGTGTGATTACACGCTCCAGATGAAGACTCTTCTCCTGCCCGGGCGTAAACATGCGCACAAAGCGCTTCGCTATAACGGTTGAATATGATAATAATATATCAAATTACCAACAAAATCACGTTTATACAAGAAAATGTTTAGCGTTACAACAGAAACGCTGAGAACCACAACACAACAAAAGCAGAGAAACTTCACTTCCGGTGTTCACGAGGATTCACAGCTCGACACTGACACACACTGGCCTGGAGGATGCAAAACACACACAACAAACGTCCATTTTAATCGTGTTAATAATTTATAATTTCAAAGTTATTGGTTAACCACTAACCGAAAGTGTATTCAAGTGTCCTAACGTGGACTTTAGACACGACACGACACTAATCCTGTGACATTACATGAGTCATAATGACTTGCATTCAAAAGCCGCGTGATTCTTTCCAGAACAATAAAGTGTACAGTAATGACGGGGAAAACTAAAAAATGCCGTTTGATAGTGTAGTCATTCCCCTTAAGTAATTAATTATTCATTTTTAACAGCTTTTCAGTTGTGGTTCCTCATATCTTTCTTTCACGGAAGCAAGAACATTCTTTGCATTCTTTAGAAATGATAAACAACATGTTCTTCCTGCTTCGAGTGCTTTAATGAAACAAGAAGTTAGTCATAAATCTAAAATATGAACAAGCATTTGACCTCCATAAGATGGCAGCAAACAAACATGCCACATCTCGGTTCAACAGCACCTCATTATATTAGGAAAACATCTGAAGCAGTTAAACGCATGATTTTATTCATTTAATAATTAATAACGTTAATTTATCCATTTAAAGTGCTTTTTGTTGCAGGTCAGTGTTAAAGTCCACATGAAACTCTTTTCTTCAGTACTCCCTGTAGGGCGGGGCTTGATTTTGATTGGCTGGTTTGGATGGTGGTGGTGGTTTGCTATTGGCTGATCTTGTGTGAGTGACAGGTTATAGCCCCGCCCACCTCATCAGAGAAGAGATGCTGCCAGAGGAACTTATTCTTATTCACGATTATACACAATAATGATGTGCAGCGATACATAATTTACAATAAACACTGCAATATTTCATGGTGACGTTCCTCTAGCGAGTGTTGCTAGGGCTCATGAACGTCTGTTAGCTGAAATGCGTGAAATGTGTGCGATCTGCATTGTGGTCGTGCCGAAGCGCCGAAACCACTGCATTCCTGCGCCTGACTCAGGAGATATTCACTTGCTAAGTCTGCCATCATTTCACAATAAGACAATTGATTGATTTGACACAGAGTTTCGACTACAGTCACACCTTTAACCTTTAACCCTCGCCTAACCCTCTCAGGTCGCGCAGGGATGCTGCAGAGCCACTGATGCTAAACTGTGTCTCTGACGATCTTCGGTCTGAATGCTCTCTCACGCTGGAGATCGCTGTCGCAACACTTGCATCGAGATAAAACTGATAAATTCAAAAGACGCATATTGCAATCTTTGAATCTTATCACACACACACATACACACACATTCTTTCTCTATGTCACTCACACACACACCCTCAACTGTCTCAGACAAAGACTCAAACACACCTCAATCTCATAACGTATTCAACATACCAACACACATATTTTCTATTTAATGTCGAATGCAAATTCACGGACTGCATCTCTTATGCAAATCATGCGCTGATATAACAGGTGCTCAAATCCATTGACCTTTGACCTGTCTGTGCAGGTTTATCCCTGGCCAATCACTGCAGACGATCATCAGCTCTTTCCCCACCGGCGGTTTGTTGAAAGGGTTAAAAACAAATGCTTTATGTAGTTATGAAACTTAGGCTATATGACTTAGCACGATCCTACCTACATGAATTAACACATCGTCAACTCTTTCCCCACCAGCGGTTTGTTAAAAGGGCTAAAAAACAAATGCTACTTTGAAGTAGTTTTATGTAGTTATGAAACTTATATGGACCAACAGGCCAATCATGTTGCTAGCATGACTTAGCACGATCCTACCTACATGTTAGCATGTTTTAGCATGTTGCTAAGATGATTTAGCAGATTTCTAACATATTGCTAGCATGTTTATAACATGACTTTAGTGTGTGCCTATGAAGGTAATCACCTGTGTCTGTTTAAAGTTGACTGATGTTGCGCCTGATGAAGATCTGAGGGTCGAAACGAGGACTTTTATACGTTCCTAGATCAGTAATCTTCAGTGTGCGGACTTCACACTTCTTTATTTGTTTATATCGCTTAGTCGTCCTGCACCTGAGCCCAATTTGGGTGTTTGGGATGTGCACACCATTTGTGTATTTTATAACATGAATTAGCACAATGCTAACATGTTTTAACAAATCGTCAGCCTGTTTTTAACATGTTTTAGCATGTTGCTAAGATGATTTAGCACACATTTCTACCACGAATTTACACGGTGCTAGCATATTTTCACATCAAATTAATTTAGAATATTAATAAAAACCATAATAGTATCACAATGATAGCCTACTAAAATAACTAACTCACGTCATACTGCATACAGCGATTGTTATTGCTATGGAAACATAGGCTAATTCAGATGTTCCATGAGTGAAGGGTTATGCAACAGTCATAGCGTTGCCATGGCAGCAGGTTGTGTTTATGGGATGTGACATGGGTGTGGGCTCAATAAAAACATGATGAATTAGAGAAGATAACGCGGGGAGTTCTGGGATGCGCTGATGTGTGGAAGTCCCCGAAACACCCGGCGGTGAAGCCCAGCGCTAGCTACGGTGAAGCCCAGCGCTAGCTACGGTTAAATGTGGAAACACTGGTGCTTTCTCCTCACCCGTCCTGTTTCAGGGAAATGTTTAGCCTAAATTTAATGTTGTTTTGTATTTTGATGTAACATGTATTGGAACTGTTGATTAAGGTCACACAGTTGTAACATAATAAACATCAATAAAACTCGTACATTTTTAACATTCGAATAATGATTGTTCCACGGCTAGTCACATTTCAACCACGTTGATGAATGCTATGTTGTGAAAATGTTTTTCTTGGTTATATGAATGTTAAGTCGACATTTAATTTTATAATGTTGCAACCCCTTCTGGTGCTGATTGGACGTTTTTAACCAATAAATGTTACTTTTTTTTTTACTTCATCAAAATGGAATGAAACTTGGTAGATGTTTTGTCGCTTGCAGTGAACACACACACACAAAGTCAATTCTTATCCTAAATCTTATTTTCGACCTAAATATGACATTTTTTTGTGAGGTTTTCCACATTTCCATGTCAGCGGTTCTGAATCACATGACACCGGGTCAGCTTCGGTTCCTCGTGTCTCGTGCTGATGTCATCGGTCACGCTCATGATGTCACTTTGTGCCTCAAACCACTGGCGTTTCAGCTTTATTCTCGTTTTCTTGCCGTTTTGAATTATTTTTATGTTAATTTTAGTTTAGTTCCTTTATGTGCTTTTGTCGTTTAAAAAATATTTATTTTGCTGTTTATTTATTTTTATTTTAGTTTTTGTTTATTTCCAGTTACTGTAATATTTTTAGTGCTTTAACGTACTTCAAATTTATCTCCAAGGCATCATTTCTAATTTAAGTTGAAGTTTTACAATTACCATTTTTCTCTTTTATAGCAGCTAACACAGATGTGTAGATTTCAGTTTGACCGTATGACATTTCTCAGAATATCTTCTGTTGTGTTCAGAAGCAGAACTGTGTAAGAATCAGGAGCATTTTTAACCTTGTAACTGCAACACACACACATACACACACAAACACACACACACCCATGCACACTCACTCAAGCACAAACACACACACATACTTTTACTCAATAACTCGCTCAAAACACACATGCAAATTCTCTCACACTTGCAGACACACAAACTCACTCTCACACACACACAAACTTACACACACACACAAACTTACACACAGACACACGCACACTCAAGCAGAAACACGCACACACACACGCACACAAGCACAAACACACCCTCTGTCAGCTGACTTCTGGGAAACTTTGTTTTTGTTGCCATTTAAAGTTCCTGTTGCTAAGGCAAGGCAGAACAGTGGCAGCCAATCAGCTGTCAGCAGGAAGTGAAGGCATGAGTGCGCTCGACACAGCTCTGGAAACTTTACATCACCTCATTCATTACCCATGAAACCCTGTGCGTGTGTGTGTGTGTGTGTGTGTCCAGACAGCTGGAGTTTCTCATGTAATGGCTGAAATTCCAAGCACCAGTTTAACAGAAGTCAGTGCGGTTAGTGTGTGTGTGTGTGTGTGCAGACAGAATCAGCTCAAAACACGTCCTCTTTCAGACCACACACACACACACACACACACACCACACACACACACACATTCAAGTTTCTGTTTCATTGCACTTAAACTGTAGATTCCAATCTGTAAGGTCAGTGAGTTTGAGTCAGAAACCACCTTACAAACACCAAACATTCCAGTTTTACTCATATTTATATTCTGAAGGGTTGTTTAGATGTCATTTCACTCCTAAAACATGAGGAACATATATTTATGATCAACAGAGAAATCCAAAATTTAGAATTTATCCAATGTTCTCATTTCAGATCTCAATATGTATGCAAATGAGTGCATATTTGCATAATAAACATACAAAAATAATACCGAACAATTGTCTTGATGTATTATGGAATTATGGCCATTTCTATTATTTCACCTCTAATGGTGACAGTAGAATTTTGTGAAACACGAATGACTTGTTGTTTCATCATTTAAAAGCTGAAATCATTTGAATATTTCCCAGCGGATACAATTATTGACAGATAAAACTAAACAAACAACAGGAGCAAATAAGGATCTGCGAGAGCAAACAGGTTACATAAGCCGAGCTGACGGGGGAAGGGCCGCTCATGATGAACTACTTCCTGTTTTCATCCGTTTGATCTGAAGTTCAACCACAGAGAGAGAGAGAGAGAGAGAGAGAGAGAGAGAGAGAGATGGAGAGAGAGATACTCTATATGATATTTGCTGTTGCTGTCCGTACTCTAGGAAATACTGGAGTCTATCTAGCAACACACACACACACACACACACACTCAGGCCCTTAAGAGAACAGCCAGAAACAAAACTAGAGGTTTCTCGTATTTCATGGAAAGACGGCATTACCGCATAGAGAGGATTTTATTCTCCTGTTATGAAGTGAAGCTGCTTTCTGTATGGTAAAAAGTGCTGAAACACACTCACATACCCTCTCTCACACACACACACACACACACACACAC